GTCTAGAGATGTCATTACTATTATTTTCTTTAAGGTATTGGAACTCTTACTTAAAGGTGAGTCCATCCCTGATTGCTAGTGATGCTCACACAACCTCCTGCCCTGCCCCATTATTTGAATGAAACAAATTATGATTTTTATTACAGGAAAGAAATCTAATAATCCCATTAGGGATAAAGTCAAATTATTTCAGAAATATTTATTGATATCCTAGCATGTATAAGACAAAGTCATTCAGGAAAAAAGCATGCCTGGACTTTATTTTTCACGTAATTAGTTTTTTCATGTAATTATTTGAATAACACTAATGTAGTGTTTGCAACCTTCTCTGATTGTTTTGACGATATGGGCCCAATTAAATTATTTTTCCATAGGAGATTAAAAATAGATTATATTATGATTGTTTTATTTTTAATATAAAATTATAGTTTCATATCAGAAATCATATCTTTAAATACAGTTTATCTGTAAAACTAGTTACGTGTTATTCAAGATATAGCTATACCAGATTCTGATGGCAAAAGCCAGAAATCCTACAAAAACATAATTTAGAAGTATGATTAACCTTGCCAATAATTTAAGGTTAAATTGAGTCTTTCTTGGGTTAAAGGAGAAGACTTTTCTGTGTAAATTGTCTAAATTAGAATGCCTTGAGCATGGCAGGGTCTACATCACCGTCACTTTTACTTGGGGTAAAAGTCTTTACTTGATACAGCAGCATTTCTTGGTAGATGTGACCAACATTTTTATCTCAGACAACTGGAAAGGAGGCTGTATTTTAGTAAATACTTCTTATTTCACATCAAAGTTGCAATATTAGAAAAGAAAATAAAATTCTGATCTACACACAAAAAATTGACCATTGTGAGTTCTTTTATCTTCTGTTTTACTTTACCCTTTCCCTGGGTAAATACTCACAATGCCCCTAAAATGGCCAGAGCCCAGATGATAGGAAAGAAAAAGTACACCTTTGGCTGATTCACACACAAAAAGATCAAATGTGTTGATGGTCCTTGGCTAGAGAAACAGATCTTCCTAGCAAATCACGAAACTCACTTCTGTTATTACACACTAACTTTAGAGAGTCGAGCGCTCTGGTTGAATAAATGAATACTTGTCTGGACACAAAGAAATTTCAGCACAACTTAGTGAACAGTACAGATAAAACTTTTGAAGTCTGGGCACTTAAACTGTTTCATGTCTCGGTTATTTCTTTTTTAAACTTACAAACCTTCAACCAAAATATCTATTACTGTGCAATTAAATTTGAAAAAGTATTCGGTATAATGTTAAAGTTACTTCTAACCTAGCTAAGCAGAAAATAATCTTGTTTTCTTCAAAATGCAGATAAGCATCTAAGCCTGAGAGGAATTTAAAGAATAAAATAATGCTAAAAATATCCATATTGAATATAGGAGAGAGATTCGGGAAAGGGACTAATTTGGTTCTCTAAGATGAGGGGGTTATTGAAATTCGTTGGTTAAAGTGAGTAAATTTAAGCAATTATAAAACTGTAAACACTTTTCATTGTGTTTAGCTAATGAAATAAGTAGACAGACCAAGAGTAGAGAGATTGAGAGAAATTCATTGAAATACTTAAAGTAAGAGAGTAATAGGTTAGTGTAGATTAACTTAATGTAACCCAGGTAATGGATCTTTTTCTGCATTTGCCTGTGGACAAAGAGGCCTGCAGTTGCTCAGTCTGTTGTGTGATCTTTGAAGCTTTATGATGACTTCTGAAACTGCTTTTGTTGTTTGGGGGAGGTCAGATGGGATGCTCTTGGGTAGCCATCCTCAAGTCATCTTCATCTAGGCTTTCACTGGATTTTACACTTGGAGTCCTGGGTCCTTGCCGGGGTACTTAACGGAAGGTTCCAGGAATGAGACCATTACTCCCTACCTAACATCTCTTCTTTCAGGATAATGATCAGGTCAAGTATGATTTGTCTTTTTTCCCCCCCATTGAAGCTCCAAGTTATATAGCTGTACCTGACCCCAGTGTCCTGAAACAAGGCTTCTCTAAGGACCCTTCAACCTGGTCTGTGGATGAAGTGATACAGTTTATGAAGCATAAAGATCCTCACATATCAAGCCCCCTCGCCGACCTCTTCAGGCAACATGTAATGTATCTTTTGATCCAGTTTTCCTGCCGTAATGCCTTTGAATGACCTCTGTGCAGGCCCTTCAGATGGATACTGATTAGTGTGGATGGTGGGGGAACCCTATCAACTGATTTTTCCCTATGTGAGAAAGGTTACTTACTTTGCTCAAAATTAGATCCTTAGATGGTAGAGGGTGGATCTGTGCTTTAAATGGGTACCCAGGTACCTAGAATGCTACAGATCTTCAAGTTCTCAAGAGAAGATGATTCGGCATGGCCAGTCTCAGGTGTCTTCTCCTTTGTAAGGACAGGGACAAGGATCCTCCTCCCCACCTGCTCCCTGCTCGACCCCAGGACCGCGAGTAGGAGGGGATGACCACAAGCTGTGACAGGGTGTCTTCCTTGTTATGATGCCCAATGAATCCAGCAACTGTATAAGATTAAGTGCAGCTGTATTTTGAATAGGAACTGATGAATGTCAAATAATATGCTTCCACAACATAAATTGGTTGATTAAGGAAATAAAGAATTTTAGGAGGATGCCTTGTGTCTATTAAGTAATATATTTATACTCTTTTCTAGTAAATCAGATTAATGACCAAATACCTGATGATACTTTTCAATATTGTAAGAAAATCAGTAATTAGTTTTAGCATCTCATTAGCTTCAGACAACTAACTGATGAGCTTTCAACATCAAGACCACACTGTATAGCACATTTATAGTTTGCACTGATGCTGACATAATCATATTCCCAGCCTTTCTGAGAACGTTAATGACCATCTGAAATTCATTTCTACCATTCATAATTTTCCACCCTTTTTCATAATTATGTAGTATTTTATTCAACACACAGTATTTACAATCAGATAGTTTGATGCTTAGGCCATTTTTCAAAGATAATGCATTAAATTTCCTTATTCTCAAAATTTGAAGTGAATTTAGAAATTATCAGATGATGTTTCACTGTACAAATTGTATTTTTAATAGTTTTCAGGAAGTCATGCATATTCAGAGAATATATATCAAGAATGTACAGCTGCTCTCTATTTTAAATGTTCTTATATATAAATAACTTCTGGCAAAATATGAAAGCATTATGAATTATTATAATTTCTTTCTCTCTGTAGGAGATTGATGGGAAGGCTCTTCTACTACTCAAAAGTGATGTGATGATGAAGTATATGGGGCTGAAGCTGGGGCCAGCATTAAAGTTATGTTACTACATTGAAAAACTTAAAGAAGGAAAATATAGTTAAAAAAATGTGTAAGTTTAGATTGGTCATAATTCTCAGTTGTCCTGATAACTTTTTAATTTAAAAGTATTCTTACTCTCTCAGCAGTTTTTATTTTGTAGACACTTCCTCTAAAAATGTGTTCTATCCACAATTGCAGAACTACATTACAGTCCATTTACTTCCTTAAAGACCATTTAATGTGTTAGTATTAGCTTATTCAAATTGACAGTTGTTTGTCTTATTATCTTACATTTACAGTTTATTATTTTATTGTACATTCTACAAATATACTTCATGTAGGAAACAGAGAAACGCCTTTAATTTTGGTTAATGTTTATATATATAGAACCAAAACAGCTAAATCCCAAAGGGGCAAGTATCAGGGACTGACAGGTTCTCTAATGAAATCCAGGAGAAATTTTCCTTAGAAGAGACTTTAAAGATGCAACTATAGATATCATCTTTCTCAAATATTTTATGTCTGTTACTGCAATGTTCTATTCATGTTCTACCAATTTCCAGAAAGGGAATAGCCATATAAATTATTTTCCTTTCGTTATTATTTCTCTGTATGTTGTATTTGTTCATATTTAAAGAAAAAAAAGCAAGCTTATAAACTTTCATAAAATGTTCTTATCAGTTTTTGATAAATTTCAAACAATTATAGGATAGATAGAATAGTTGTTTTATGCAGGAAATATTATACTACAAGGGTGGTTTGGATGGAGGCTGATTAAAGTTTTTTCAATAAAATACATATTATTTTAAAACTTTACATATTTTCACTAAGCTTAGACATTTAATGAGGCATTCATTTCTTACATCTCTATATGAAGACACCTGTGCCCAAATTTTTAAAAGATATATATTTTATTGTCTGTGTTTATTCCTCATATGGATACTATACCATATTTATATATTATTCTATACCTGTAGGTATACAAACAAGTAAATCTGTTCTTTTTGAATTTAATATGGCACTTTGCACCACCACAGAGGTAATAATGAACTATTTATATAGTTAGATGTTTTTATTCTGTAAAAAATAAGTGCATCATTTGGTATCACTAGTACCTCTCAGCTTAGTCTTCAGGGGATAAGAAACAATCCATAGATTGGTTTCCATACAGGGAAGAGCTCTGTCCTATGCAATGTTTGTAGTTAATTTGATTAGTTCTGAGCCATTTATTCTGCTAAATTTTGGAAGATGCATTAATTCCAACTTAATCATTTTGGGCTTTATTTTTAAAGTTAGAACTTTCAAGGGGAAATGGTGCTATATGTTTATTGTTATTACTTTGTATAACTTTGGTGTAATGTTTATAAGCTATGAGAATCTGCTAAAAGTATTAGCCATTTGCTGTAAATGCCAATAAAATATACACCAGGGGCAAGAATGTACATTTTTTTTAGAAAACCAAATGTACTTTATACAATAATTCAACTATTTAAAGGGTGGTTTCATTTATGTTACTCCTTTTGTGTTATAAGACAAAATTCTAATTTAAACTTGGTCTTCTTTCAAATTGTTTGTGTGAAGATGCTGTGCCCAATTGAACAGTCCTCAGGTGTTTGTATGAATACTATGTTCTACATAAGTTCTCAGATTTTAAACTATAATAAAGTTAAATAACCGCAACAATTAATGTCAAAGCCTCAGATTTGATTTTACTTGATTTTATTGTTACACGAGAAGCTAGACTGGGTTTTGGAACTGGATCTTTTGTGCAACACCCTCTCTCCCAGTTTTCCTCTTGTTGAAGTGCTGCAGATAAAGTATCTGCAAGGTCAGGGTGTTTGGGGAGGCTCCATGATGTCTTAGGACACCCTAGGCTGTTGGCACTAATAGACCCAAAATATATTGTGTCTCAAATACAGTAGAAGGGTATTTCTTGCTCACAATCCAAAGCAGATGTCCCACTTCCCTGTGGTGATCTGGGGACCCAGGCTCCTTCCATCTTGTCCCTCCACCTTCCTCTAGGGCCTTGGGATCCTCTGATTCCAGGTGGCAGGGGAAATGGCACACATCACTTCTGTTCCCATTCCATTGACTGAGGCTCAGTCACGTGGCCACACCAGACTGTAATGGTGACCAGAAAAGTAGTCTGTGGGTCCAGGAAGACAAGAAAATGGCTCTTTGGGAAACAGCAGTCTTGATCATACATGGTGATCCTAATAGCAAAACATAGCACGTTAATACCTCCTTGAAATGTCGATTTCCCTTTTATTCTCCATCCCCCCATTACATTCAACACACGTGGCTGCTCTAATCCTCCCTCCCTGCTTTATTTCTCCACAGCACTTAAACTTGGGGTTGGTTGTATTATTGTTCCCAATCCTTGACTCTTCTCTTCCCTTCCGTGTCAAAGCATCTTGCGTCCCCTCCATTCCCAAGGGACTTGCAGTTCCTCCTTGAAGGCAAAATCTACTGCCCACCCCTTTTTGGCCCTGAACCCTGCTTGGGCCAACAGGACGTAAGAGGACCTGGAACACATCACATGCCAGCAGAAGCTTTACAGTGGCTTCTTGAGCATCTCTCTCTCATTTGTTCCCCTCTGCTATGAGCACGGAGTGTACCACATAGGGGCTGCTCCTTCAGACTGGGTTCTGGAGCGAGAAGGCCTGTGAGGCTGGGCCAAGCCATCTCACCGCTTTCTACAGTGTATGTGAGGAGGAAGTCGATGTGTGTGGTTGTAAAGGACTGGGTTTTGGTGACTTAGGACCACAGCTCAAAAATATGGCACAGCGTAGCGTATGCACTTCCTGACATTGTTTATTTGTACGTTGGATGCTTCCCCACTGGAATGAACCCTTCATAAGGGCAGTGAGTCTCACTAGCTTGTTTCCTACTATCCTCAGTGTCTAGATGGGCACCCAGCACAGAGTAGGGCTCAAATATTTGTTGACTGAATCATACTCCTGGGAATCAAATTTAGCTTGATGTTTTTTGGTATCAAATTCATCCTGAGCCTTTCCACAAGTATGAGAGTTAATGCCATAAATTGCCATTTGGCCTTTAGATTATTTTCCGGTTGGTTTTACATACACACCCCAAGCATTGAAACTAGAGAAAGAAAGAGTGAATTATTAGAGAACAGTGTGGCTCTGATGAGAATTAAAAACTGTAAAATTCCCAACCTGTCATCTGTTTTAACATGACATCTTGCTAGTAGCCATTGAATCGCTCATTCTTGGCTTCTCACTATTTACCTGTAAGAAAATGAAAGTGATGAAGGTGCCTGGTACCTCAGAAAACTAAGATGGGCAGGCTAGCTTTTGCTAGAGGTTTGGGAAATATTCCTCCTAACTCTAAGGTCCCTGAAGTTGGAGTGAGAAATACCCATGCCGTCAATTTTAAGATGTACTTTTCCCCCATGCATGAACATATCTGCTTTCTGGGGGGGTTTACAGTCCAGGGCGTCTTCAGATTCTGTGCAGTACGGTCACACTGGGCTTGGCCGTGCCCCACCTCTTGCTTTTTCATCCAGCCTACGTCAATTCCAAATCACGCAGCAAACCGTAGGGAAGGGGGCAGAGGAGACAGATGCTGTTCTTGGAGGTGGGTTTGTGCGTCTCGCACCTGGATCCCACAGGCCCAGCACTATAGGTGGGAGCTGAAACAAGAAGGGCCCTGTAGGAGCACATTGCTGGGAATAGTATTTGTTTTTTAATGTATTTTAAAAAGTGGAGGTAGGAGAAAGTGCCCCAGAAAAGTACAAAATAATTGGCAGGCAACCGAGTATATATGAGTAAACCAGACAGGCGAGATCCCTGATCTTAGGCAGCTTACTATCTATCTGGGAATGTGGCACATGTCAAGTAGCCACACAGGTACACCGGATGACCTTTACCTGGTGGAGAGCATCATGAGCAACTTGCCTCAGGAAGTGTCATTTCAGCCAAGACCAGAAGGATGATGCAGGCCAGGGATGAAGGGAGGTGTGTATAGTTGAAGGCCGAGGACACTGAGCGGGGGTGAGCATCTATGAGTACATGCCAGTGGCTCTTCTAGAAGAATTGTCGGTTTCTTTTTAAGATGTCATAAATATATCTGGCCGTCATTTTATTGAAAACCTTAATCTTTTTCCCTTGTGGTAAATCAGTTGTTCCCACATCATTTACTGAACAATCCGTCTTTTCCCAAATAGAAAAAAAAAAGAAATCACTTTTATCATATGTTATATCCTTAAAGATAAATGTTAAGAAAACATGAAAATGTTCAACTTGACTGGTAATTAAACAAGTACAAATCAAAACAGGATGCATGTTATCCTTCACCTTTTATCAAATTAGCAAAGGTCAAAAACAATAGTAAGTATTCATGGTGATGAGAAGTAAATTTGCTACAAACTGTCCAGAGGGCAGCTTGAAAACATGTCTAAGGCCTGAACAGGTCCACAAGAAGGGAACTTTCAAAATTAAGTGGAGGAGATTTATTTACACGGAAAGACATTCATGATATGTTGCTCAAAGTCAGTCACAGAAGCAGATGTGTAGCATGACTTCTCTAGAGGATTCTATTGTGTTTGTGCATTTGTGTATGCATTTACATGTCTAGGAGCTGGTTTGGAAGATAATATACAAACGTTTACAGTGGGCATCTCTGGATGGGTGGGCTTCTGGATATGTTTCACTTCATTTTGCTTATCTTATTTTCTGCCATGTATTGCTTTTATAATAATTGTTTAATTACAAAAACACAGGCCATATCATGTTCAAATCACTGCTCAAGATAAAAGGAAAACACATTGCCATTTAGTGGGTGGTAGAAACAGCAAAAACATAAAAAGTGCATAACATACGTCAGAAGACCAAGTTAACTTGATAACTATGTGTAAATATATCGAACAGATTCAAGGATTTATTTGAAAAACAATCATATGCTTTTGCCTACCTTTAAACATTAAAACTGAAGTACTGGACAGGAATTGCTCTGCAAATAAAAAGTAGGCCACGGTGATAATACTGATCCTAGCAAGGTACAATCACAGGCAAGAAGCAGTCAGTGCATCAGGAGTCGTCACGTTGGTAAGAGGGACAAGTACAGGGAAGACAGTGTGTGCACTAGTGTATGATCAATTACACAGAATCACAAAGTAGAAGCAAAACCAGATAGACCATATGAATAGTTTAATAGAAATGCAGTAGAAAAAAAGACTTGTGCTTTTCAGCTTTCGGCCTAAGCAAAATTAAAGGGCAGATATTGACCTTATTGATAGACATTGGATTCAAAAAGAGAATACACTGTTTTTAGGAATCCGTGGAACTTTTACAAAATTGAGTACGTACTAAGCTACATAGAACACTTTGAATTACAGAAAACAGTACAGGCTACAGTCTGGGACATAAAATTGGAAGTTAATGTGATACTTCTGACACTAACAACAAAAACAATAACCACTCGTACCTTTGTAGCCACAACTTCTTTCCTGAACTTTCTCCTTGAGTTCTAGGCCTGTATATCCAGATGTCCTCTGATGTCTCCTACCTCCAAGCCCATAGGCATTTCATACTCATCACACCTAAATCTTTTCTCATCTTCTCTTGGCCAATCTACTGCTCTCAAATCCTTGCGTTCTTAACAGCGCCCTCGCCTGCCCACGCATCCAGGCACCTGGCAGAGTGACTGCCAGTGTCAGCTTCAGCTCATCATTTTCCACAGACCCTGCAGCCCTGAGGTCACCAGGTCCCATGCATCCTACCTCTCACAGCTCTCGCGGGTCATCTGGGCTCCCCAGTCTGTTGTTTCCCTGTTTGCTGCCAGATGCCATTTTGCAAATGCTAAATTTCTTCCCTATGAGCACTTCCAGGGCTGGTACTTTATTTTTGTATTCCCAGGATAGCATAGTGTCTTCTACATAATAGAAACTTAGATGTTGGTTGAATAAAGAAAATAACATAAAAGTAAAATTCCTTCTTAACAACATGGCCATTTAGAGTACATCTCCCAGTTTAAAATAAACTAATTTTTACTGAGGTTTGTACTTCACTAACCCAGTGTGGCTCCCCACCATTGTTATGGAGCATCTCAGATATGTTTGAACAGTAATGGAGGACAGGTGATCCAGAGGACTCTCATGGTAAAGAGAGACAGGCTCAGAAATTTTGACCTTTTCGTAGAAGAATTGAAAAAGCTTAATCTTTATGAATATACTGAATGATTTGTCAAGGACACAAACCACGTTCTTTAAATAAATCTGTCAGTGTTTTGCGTGTGTGCCTGTGTGTTTAACTTGGATCTGAAGATCTAAGTATGAGCTGTAAACATATAAAACAAGTTTTAATAAAGCTGTCCTATGTCCTGCAGATGATTTGTATCGTATGTCTCCAAACCAATTGCTGGGTGGTTCCATTTTTATGGAGCCAGGCTAATATTTTTCTTTCCAATTTAGAGGCCACCTTTTTAATGCTTTGGAATTGGAATTTAAAAATAAAAATATAGAAGGTCAAAGTTTTGCTCGTTCTTTGTTCTCCCATAAAACACTTGATTCCATGAGCAAATATTAGCTCTATCAACTATTCCCTTCTTTTTTTAAAAAAAACCTTAATTGTAGTACATTTCAAGTACATGTAAAAACAGAATAGTAAACCCCTCATCACCCAGCTTCAATAATTATCAGCACACGACCTATCTTGTTTCATCCACACTAGCACCCACATCTCATCTCCCATTTCCTTGTTTTGAAGCAAATCTGATACATCACTTAATCTATAAATAGATCATTTCGTATATCTAAAAGATAAAAGAATCTTTTAAAAAAAGTAACCATACCATTATCACACTTTAAAAATTAATAGTTCATTTCTAACAGCATTCTCTAATAAAAGGAACCAGAGCTCCTTGGAGAAATGACTGATTCTAGGACTGGGACAGGGAAGAAACATGAGTATGGAGTATCTTGTAGTGTCAGAAGGGTATCTTCAGAAAAGCACAATGATGAGCTATGTCAAAGGGACGTAGGAGCCAACTGAAAAAGCTCCCAATGGCCAAATCTGGAACGATTTGAGCAACAAAATAAAGTAGGACTGGATTATAACCCAAAGCATAAAATAGATATCCTTGAGTCCATTACTGCTGTCAACAAATGATTAAGTGAACAAATGGGGAGAATGGACAAATCTGTGCAGAAGAATCCCAAATGATGTAGCTACTCACCCTCGAGGAGGGGGCGCATTACTCCAGTCCTCAGGTGTGGGCCGTGCATACAGACTTCCTCCCAAAGAGGACAGTGTGGAAAGGGGGGAAAGGGGCTTTGCAGTGGAGAGACCTGACAAACACTACCTCAGCCAGGTGACCAAGGTCAACAGCAACAGTGAGAAGTCATGTTGACAGCACGTGTCATTGACAGCATGCGATGAGAAGGGCACTTCGCCTCTGTGGTCTTCCTCCCCAAAACCCATAACCCCAGTCTCATCATGAGGAAAATCATCAGAAAAATCCCAATTGTGGAACAGTCTACAAAATACTGACCAGTACTCCTCAAAACTGCCAAGGTCATCAAATACAAGGAAAGTCTGAGAAACTGTCACCGACTAGAGAAGCCCAAGGAGACGTGATGACTGAACATAATAGGGGATCCTGGAGCAGAAAAAGGTAAAAAGTAAGGAAATCTGAATACAGTATGGGCTTTAGTTAATAATAATGTGTCAGCATTGATCCATTAGCTGCTGCAAATGTACCATAATATAAGATACTAACAATAGGGGGAATAATCTCTCTACTATCTTAGCAACTTTTCTGTAAATCTAAAACTATTCTAAAATTAAAAATTTATTAAAACATAATTCCTTAATATCATCATACATTCATGCAGCATTCAAATTTCTAATCTCAAGTATTAAACTTCTTTTTTACAGTTTGATATCTTCTTTTAATTGTCTGTTACAAAGCTGTCCAGTAGAAATACAATTCAAGCCATACATGTAATTTTAAATTTCCCAGTAGCCACATTAAAAAATAGAAATGAACAGGTGATATCAATTTCAATAATAATATTTAACCTAATATATCCAAACTATTATCATTTTACCATGTAATTCATATGAAATTAGTAGAGAGAGAGTTTACATTCTTTTTGTGTGATGTCTTTAAAGTCCAATGTGTATTTTGCACCTAGAGCACATCTCGTTTCAGCCTGGCCTCATCCAAGTGCTCAACAGCCATGTGTGGCTGCAGTATTGAAAGGCCCAGTCCGACAGATCAAAGGTGGGTCTCCAAGTGGGTCCCCTGACCAGCAGCATCAGCCTCACCTGGGAACTTGTTAGAAATGCAAATTCTCAGGCCCACCCCAGACCTGCTGAATCAGAAAGTGGGAGTGGGAGTGGGGCCCCACAATCTGTGTTTTAACAAGCTCTCCAGGTGGTTCTGGTGCACTCTGAAGTTTGAGAACCATCACTGGGTGTTAGAAGACAAACTATTTAAATGCCGGTCTGAAGCAACCAATGAGTTACTAGAGATGAAAGGACATGTCTCTATCTTCTAGAAGAAGGGCCACATGGAATAGAGAGGCAGAGAGGATGCTTTTTTACGGAGGAAGTAGGCTTTGGCCTAGTGGGGATGGGAGAAGGCTTTGTAATCATCACAAAAATGAATGTGAACGAGAAAGGAAACAGGAGCCACATAGGAAGTGGCGCGGGTGCGGAAAGATCCATCCTCCTCAGCCCCTTGTCCGGGAGCCCAGAGAGTGGCATGGGCTTGGAGGAGGGACGGGGAGGGGGCCTGGAGGACCAGGAGGAGGAGCTGGTCGGCCCAGAGGCTGCAGAACAGGCGTGTGGCCCTTCCAGAGAGCTGCAAGGAAGCCAGGTCCCCGAGTGGGAGAAGTCTTGTCAGGAGAGTGGATTTTCCATCCACTGCCGCCTGTGGCACACCCACAATCCATCAGGACACACTCACCTGAGCCCCAAGCTGCCCGTGTTAACCCTCCCACTTTCTCAATGGCCCAGGACGCTAAACAAATCAACAGGCAAACAGCCTGGAGGGGATAGGGTGGCGTGCAGAGGAAAGCAAGGAGTGGTGAAATGCCTTCCTCCTCTCCTTCAGTTGTTATTGTAGTGGGTCAGGATACGGGCTCGGGTACTTTAACAGAAAGACCTCAAAGCCCAGGAGCTTCAGAAAGATAGAAATTTAGTTCTCATTTACTCTCATGTTGGAAGTTTGAAGGTGCTCCATATATATCAGACATCCATACTCCTTCCATCTTGTTCTGCTTTCCTCAGCATGTGCCTTCCACCTCGTCACCTGATGTGGCTGCTCTAGCTCCTGCCTTCACATTCAGCCACTCTGGGGAGTCTTTTAATAGGTGGCCACACGCCCAGCCATAAGGCTCTTAATCTAAGAACAGGAGAACTGATTTTTTAAACAACTAGCATTCTCTGTCTTATACATATATTTGATCATCATTCACATAGAGATGAAAGTCAAATTTTATGTGTCAGTAAGATAGCAAATGTGACAGGAACAAAGTCTATGACTGAGTCTGTGGCATAGCAGGCTGTGGGCAGATGTGGGGCAGTGAGAGCTGGAAAGAACAAGGGAATTTTAGAGGAGGTACAATTTATGATTGGTGGCTCCTTCGATGATAACGTAAAAACAAGTGAATATTAGAATTTGTTTTCAACTATTTTTGGTTACTGACCTGTTTATTTGAAAGCCTCACCAGGCTAAGACTGGACATAATTTGGGGTTAAAATTGAAATGAGAGGAGCAGAGTGAAAGGGAGCAAATCTTGGGGAAATTTTGATACTCCAGGAGTGCCTCTGGCAGTGGTATGAGTGGAGTACAGAAGGGATGAGAGATGCCTCAGAATCACAGTCACATCTTCCTTCTCCCATTCCCCTGCTGCCCGAGCCCTGGACCACAGCAGCACCCCTCAATGGTCTCCGTTCGTTCTTAAACATTGCAGTCCAATCTCCATACAGCAGCCCAAGTGATTTAAATATATATATATATAAAATATCATCTCAAAACTCTGTCTTCCAGTGGCTTCGTTTTGTGCTTAGAGTAAAATTCCAGATCCCTCCCCATGGCCTACAAGACTCTGCATGATCTGACCCTGCCCACAACTTTCTTCTTACTGTGATCTATCTATAGCACCCGATCTGATCCTTTGTATCTCTCTCTGTCTTACTGTGATCCATACCCACGCATGATCTGGCCACTGTCTATTTCTTGCTGTCTTCTTAGGATCCATACCCACACATGGTCTGTTCCTGCCCACTTCTTCCTCTCCTGTTATAATCCATACTCACACATGATCTGGCACATCTCTCCCTGTCTTATGAGCCATACCCACACATGGTCTGTTCTTGCCCATCTCTTTCTGTCTTCTATGATCCCAAACCACACATAATATGGCCCCTGACCATCACTTTATGTCTACTATGATCTGTACCTATGCAAGATATGTCCCTGGTCATCTCTATCTTCCTGTTACCCACACCTAACCTCCTCAGGTCCTGCCCGTGAACCCAAACATGGTCCCAGTCATGATCTGGTCCTCTTTTGTCTGTGATCCATATCCAGACATGATATGGCCCCTGACCATCTCTTCCTGTTCTGTTATGATCCTGAGCCGTCAAAGATCTGGCTCTGCCCATTTATTTCTGTCCTGATATGGTCCAGACTCATAAATGACCTGGCCCTGCCCATCTCTTCCTGTGATCCACACCCACACGTGATCTTGTCCCTGTCCACCTCTTTCTTTGTTCCAGTGATACATGTGCACACACGATCTGGTGCTGCACATTTTTTTCTTTGTTTGTGATCCCTACACATACATTATCTGGTCCTGCTCATTTCTTTGTGTCTTGCTGTGACCCATATACACATGTTATCTGGCCTGCCCATCTCTTTGTCTTCTTGATAGCCATATGACACAGGATCTGGTCTCTGCCCGTCTCTTTCTGTCTTACTATGATCCATACCCATACATTTGCCCCTGCCCATCTCTTTCTGTCCTATTCTGGCCCATATCCATACATAATGTGGGCCCGAACATCTCTTTCTGCCTTGTTATAAATTGAAACTCGCACACAAACTTGCCCCTGTTCCCCTCTTTCTTTCTATGATCCACACACACGTTACCTTGTCCAGTCGGGGGAAAGGGCCTGGGGTTCCTGGTGTGTAAGCAGAGCGCTTGACCTCAGGCACAAGGAGCCCTTCTGTTCTACCCACAAGAAGGCAGAGGAGCCTGGCGGACTGATGTTTGGAGAAGGACTTGCCCAGAGGGAGAGTTAGAGGCAGGAGGACTGGCTGGGGTGGAACTCACTTGTGACGGCCTCAGGCTCGGTGAGCGGGGGGAGCTTGATTGGTTCCCAGTGGAGCAGTGGGATTCAAGAGAGCAGTAGAGATGGAGACAGTTAGAAAGAGCCGCTGGGCCAGACAGGGGAGGGTCCAGTTGTCATCGGCCTGTCTTTGCAGTGGGATAAGTCACGGAGCTTGAAGGGACGGCTCAGAGGCTTCTGGAGCAATCCTCGGAACACGCAGGGTAACAAGGCAGCCACCAGTGGGGGCTCAGTTCTCGGAAGCTGTGGAGTTGAGAGTCAGGATGGGGGCGCACCTTGGGGAAGGGTCACTACATAGACTCCAGTGCTAATGTGCTCATGTTACAAAACCACTCCCAAATCCAAAAGTTAACAGGAGAGGACTGCATTAAACGGAAAGAGACCTTCCTCACTCTTCCTGAGCCCCAGTGGACTCTCGAGTGTTCCATTGCGGGGAGTCCTGTGCAGGCCGCTGGGTGTGCTGGGGCCCAACGTCCTCAGGGCAGGCCCCACCCTGCTTTACCCTGTCCACAATGGTTCCTGGGCGTTTTTCCTGTCTCTCCTCTTGGAGCATCTCCTTGGCCCAAGTGCACTGGAGTCTTTCCAGGTTGTGTTCCAGAAGTCTGAGAAAGACCTACCCAAGGGACTCAGGGCCACACCCGCCTCTCCATTTCTCTCTGTGTGACTTTGGTTACATTGCTTCAGCTCTCAGAGACGAGGAGCCCCCCTTCCCCCTAGGGCTGTGAGAATTCGGGGAGATGGAGGATGAGAAGCAGCTTGACACAATAAGTGCTGAAACTGCCCCTTCCCTTATTCCTGCAGTGCCCCTCCCCTCAGTCCCTGCTGCTCTCTTTGCCATATCCTGTTCACAGCTCCCCCCGATTGTACTGGAGCCCCGGCAAGCAGCTGTGTGGCTTTCAGATTAAAGAAGACTTTAAATTTGTTCTTCACAAAAACCTCAGTCTGGCTTCTGGAGGGCTGAAGTAGACCTGAAACAGATCTTCCTGGACCAGGAAGGCCCTTGGGTCAGCCTTGCATGGGATGCCAAGGGCTGTGGGAAGCACTTAAAGGATTATAAATGGCAGTCGGGGGACAGTCACTCAGCCAGACCTGCATTCTGGACAGAACATTCTGGCAGCTATTGGGGGTGGGGAGGAGAGCTCTCAGCAGGCAGAACCGATGGTCCACTATGCACAGTAGCCTCGATGTAGTCCCATCCAGGTATTTTCCTTGGGGCGACTCCAGCGATTTCATAAAACCTTTTTTGGGGTTGTTCTCAGAAGGCTAGGTGTCCCTCTGAGGGTGGCCTGAGTTGTTGGGTTAATTATAGGCAGCGGTTGAGCACAACCTCCTTCCTCTTTAAAATGGTAGAAGTAGTTATGTACTTTAGAGACTTCCGGATGTCTGGGGAGCCCAGTTTTTTGCAGGGGTCTTCGATGAACTCTCCTGCAGAGGTTTTTAATTTGCTTTCTTCTGTAAAATGCTTTCTCCCATTTGATTTCTCAGCATTATAATGTCAGGTTAAGAATACAGGAAGGCAGCCAGAAGCCTTGATGTCTTGCAATCTGAATTAGTCTGCAGACTCCGTGTACATCATGCTCAGGAGCAGAAAGTTCTGGACCCGGTGGGGAGGACTGCGTGTGCAGTGGCCGAACCAGTGACGCGTTGAGGATGGACGGATGGGTCTCCCCACCCAACCCAGGTGCTGAGCAGCCACGTGCCGTGCCCAGGAAACGATGGGGCAGTTGTGTCACCGCCAGAGAGAAGGCAAGTGAGGGGAGGTCCCGAGTTCTGCACCTGGCAGCCACGCGGCCAACGGGGCGGGACGAGGTGTCACCCCTGGCCACACTGTTTCCCGGAGATGGGCTGCCCTGCTGCCCCCAACCCCTGGGGGTCTCGGGCCCAGAGTCAGCCTGGGAGACAGATTAGCTGTGGGTCAGACTTATCTTGCCTGAAGCCACCTCCTCACAGGTCACACAATGGGAAGGTGTTAGCTTTTATTTGCACTATCTCCTTCCGAGTTCCTTTCCTCTTCTCCGCTCCCATTGCCTCTCTCTCACACACATTCTCTCTCTGTCTCTCCCCCTGTCATACATACATGCACATGTCTGTGTTAATGAGCCGATGAGATCCAGCTTTACGAGCACAAGGATGCAGCCTGGTGCTCTGTGCCTCTTTTGGGCCTTTCCCTGTCTTTACAAAGAAAACATAGGTTCCTCCAACTTGCTCCTGCGTTCTTGCCCGCTCCCCTGCCCACCCCACACTGAGAAGGGTTCTTAATGCCTTGGAGCCATGACCATTCACAGTGCCTTGTGACGTCCACTCCCCAGGTGGCAGTCGTTTTAATGGAGTCGAAGAGAAACCATCAGCATGTGCTGCATACAGGAAGGGTCGATGCTGTTCTGTGAGAATGTTGAATCTGTCCTGGGCCTTGTGGGCAGGGGGTGGCAGAGCTGTCATCTGCATTGAAAGTCACTTCACACCCTCTTCTTGCCTGCACCATGGGTGCAACCTGCTTGCTTCCATCTGCACATAAACCAGGTTGATGGCATGAACCTGCTGGAGTACAGAGCAGTGCACCTCTGCCTGATGCCCGTGAGAATGCTCTGGAACTTTTCAATCCCAGCATCCGGCCACCCCTGACCAGTGACATGGGGACCTCTGGGGCTCAGGCCTGGCCAGCAGGAGTTTTTACGGTTCCGCTGGTGATTCCGGGTGCAGCCAGGGTCGGGAACAGGCGCCTAGAAGCACGACCAATGCCAGTTGTGACGCGGATGGGCCCCTTGCCTGCTCTCCCTCGAGGGCAGTGGCTGGAGTCTAGGCCTGGGCCTCCCCAGCTCGCCTGCCCTCCTCTTCCAGCTCCCTTGGGGACCACACCTTCCGTACTTCCCTCTGTTGCATCTAAGAACCCCACCAACCTTGCCCTGCTCCAGTTTTCTGGTCCCCACAGACGTGGAGGTGGTTGCTTCAGGTCCATACTCGCTGCAGCTTGTATTGCAGCCTGTGAGGGAAGCTGGAAAGGCATGGGCCTGCGAGCCTCTCTCCCTGGCTTTGCTGGAACAGTTTTCCGTTCCTAGGGTGAGAAGGCTCCTTCCTGAAAACTTAGGCCCTCGAGGATTTCCGATCTGGATCCTTCCCTCGGGTGTCCTAAGATGCTCACAGACTAGCTTCCTTCAGAGGACCAAGGTCACCAGCAAGCTGCCTGTGTCAGGACCACTATGTGCAGGAGTGCCCTGTGGTGCTCTCTCGGGGTGGGGGGAGGAGGGTGGGAGATGGAGGGTGCAGCAGCGGGCTCTGTCCCCCAGCATGGGTGCTTTTATGGCTTCTTTCTACTGATGTCTTATCTTCTCCTATACTTGGTTATGTTTCACTTTGTGCTCCATATTCTATTTAAACATTGTTTGTAGAAATAACTTTATGTTATCTTTATAGGAATGAATTTTTGTTTGCTTATGCCAGGCAGTTGGGAGTGCTAAATCCCTGGATGACTCCGGGATTGTCTCACTGAATGAGATAAGTCACTGTGGCGCTGCACTGGTGGAACTTGCTGGAAATATGCCCTGCAGGATGGTGGAGGAGGGAGCTGCATTCTCCAGCAGCCTGCCTGGAGAGCAAATGGGAACCAGGAAGCAAAGCTCATTCCTTCTGCAATCTCTGTCCAGCACCTACTACTGAAGAAAGCTTAAATAGTGCTGCTGGCAACAGAAAAAAATATTTAAAGGGCCCATATCTATTTTCCCAGAGCAGGCAAAAGGGATGAATTTGAAGCTGAGGCAATACATCGATAACCAGCATAGTGCATCCATTCTATTACTCAGGTTCCCTATGCACCCTCCTGCCCATAGTTCTACTCCCACACTACAGTGAAACAACTCTGCATTTCTGCCTACCGAGGCGCACCTTTCCTTCTTACAAGTGAAGAAACTCTCCCCCTTCCTTCCAAATGAAGAGATGCACAGTGCCAAGAGTCCTTGTAGATCTGACACAGTGAAATGGAACCAAAACTCCAGGCACTGCGCTGGCTGCTTTATAGCTTCTAACTTTTAACTCTTAGGACCTTGTGAGGGAAGTGCCATATAAATATAAATAAGATGAGGTGCTGTCTAGGAACTTCAAAAGAGAGAGGCATATTGACAAGGATTTCTAATATGAGGCAAAGTGATTTAAGTGCTAAAAGGCAGTGAAAATAATCCGTTGTGGAATCCTAGAGAAGCTACTCATTCTCACCACTGGGATGTAGGAAAGCGTCTTGGTATTATTAGAACAGATGTCATACTGGAACAGGCTTTGAAGGATGTGAAAAATTTCCAGAAGCAACTGAGCAGGAGGTAGAACGCCATAGGGAAAGTGAACATGTGCTATGGACGGACACGTGTGTTCAAATCACTACTGTGTCACTAGCATTATGGCTTTGAGCAAATTAATGAAACTCTCCAAGCCTCAGTTTTCTCATCTTTAAAATGGGACAATAATAACCACTTCTTATAGGGTTGAGGACCACATAAGGTCAGCTATGTTAGTGGTCGGCTTGTGGTGAGCACTTGGTAAAGGTAAATCATAGCTATTAATACTTTAAGGAAGAATCAAGCACATGGCTGTTTGCAAAATGCACTGTTAGAGAGCAGTGCAGCTGAAGGGCAGGATGGCAATGGACGGCCTTATTAGGGGCACATTTTAAAAGTTGGATTATTTTTGGATTTGTTTCCAAGCCGGCGTTGGACGTGAGTATGTAACCTGGAAAACATCAGAAAGGCCGAACTGAAATCTGTTACATCCTGCACTTTTTCTATGATGTGTTGTGTGTGAAGAGCATTTTGGGAAGGGCAGAATTACACTGGAGGCTACCGGCTCACGATTTGTTTTAAAAAGGTCACTTAAAAATACAAACGTATAGGTAGAAAGCGAGCGAAGCAAGCCGCCATGCTGAGTGTCGTCCCTGCCCTCTCCTGGCAGCGGCGCTCGCACACTGAGCGCTACTGCGCAGCTGCAGAAAAGTCTCTCAGGATGTGAGTTGCACCCCCTCCATTAGGCGCCTCAGTTTACGGCAGTCGCAGCGTGGGCGCAGTCGCCGCGTGGGCAGTCGCGTTCGAACCGCAGCGCCGACGCCGAGCCTGAGCCGCCTCACGATGTCTGAGGAGCAGGGTAAGAGGCCCTCCCCAAGGCTGCCCCACTAGCTTCTGCCTCTTCCCTCACCCTGTCTGGGGAAGGCTCTAACAGGATTTGCACCGCGCCCACCTAGAGGGCTGCTCAGGTGACCGCGGGATTCGCTGGTCATCTGCCAAGGCGTGTCGGGGATTGGCCTCTGGGCTGCTGTCCCTGATTGAGCAGTGTGAGTGTGGGAACCCGGGTGACTCGGGCCAGGGTGGCCCGCGGTCCAGGGCGTCCCCGGGACTTGAGGTGTCCCAGGAACTTGTGGCGTCCCCCAGGTTCATGGCGTCCCAGGGGCTTGAGGTGATTCTGGGACTCGCGGCATCCCCCGGGTTCATGGCGTCCCAGGGGCTTGAGGTGATTGTGGGGCTCGTGGCGTCCCCCGGGTTCATGGCGGCCGAGGAGCTTGAGGTGATTGTGGGGCTCGTGGCGTCCCCCGGGTTCATGGCGGCCGAGGAGCTTGAGGTGATTGTGGGGCTCGTGGCGTCCCCCGGGTTCATGGCGGCCGAGGAGCTTGAGGTGATTGTGGGGCTCGTGGCGTCCCCCGGGTTCATGGCGGCCGAGGAGCTTGAGGTGATTGTGGGGCTCGTGGCGTCCCCCGGGTTCATGGCGGCCGAGGAGCTTGAGGTGATTGTGGGGCTCGTGGCGTCCCCCGGGTTCATGGCGGCCGAGGAGCTTGAGGTGATTGTGGGGCTCGTGGCGTCCCCCGGGTTCATGGCGGCCGAGGAGCTTGAGGTGATTGTGGGGCTCGTGGCGTCCCCCGGGTTCATGGCGGCCGAGGAGCTTGAGGTGATTGTGGGGCTCGTGGCGTCCCCCGGGTTCATGGCGGCCGAGGAGCTTGAGGTGATTGTGGGGCTCGTGGCGTCCCCCGGGTTCATGGCGGCCGAGGAGCTTGAGGTGATTGTGGGGCTCGTGGCGTCCCCTAGGTTCATGGAGGCCCAGGGGCTTGAGGTGATTCTGGGGTTCGTGGCGTCCCCTGGGTTCATGGTGTCCCAGGGGCTTGAGGTGATTCTGGGGCTCATGGCGTCCCAGGGGCTCGAGATAACCCCAGGGCTGGCCGCGTTCCCTGGGTTAGTGGTATCGAGAGACTCGAGGTGACACTGGTGCTCGTGGCACCAGCACGTGGACAGGCGTCCGGCTTGAGGGCTGCGGTTCTTTCCAGATCCTCTAGGGCCATAAAACAATGTCGGTCGTCGCTGCTCGGGAGGCTGGGCCACCGCCAGCTGTTTCCCTACACCCTTTAGAGGGTGGCATGGCAGGCTCTGGCGCTAGAGTGGGTCTGTACAGCTGCCGTCTTTCCTTGAATTTATTTTCAAGATCTTGTGTGCACGTGGCGTAAGCTGCCGTTGAGCACTGGCGGTTAGGGCAGGAAAGCGATTTGGTTTAGCGGCGGAGGCGCTCCTGCAAGGAGAGGGTTTGCCTTGCTGGAAGAGCGAGGCTGCCCTTCGCAGCCTCAAATGGCGGCAGCCCTGTGGGGGGTTGGTTTGGAGGTGGTTCCCAGCTCCTCTCTGAGGGAGGCCAGCGCGTGTGAGCTGTTGAGACTTGGCTCCTTGTCAAGTCCTTGGTGCTGACTTTCTGGGACGAGTTGATCCCTTTTCATCCTTTCTCTTCCCTGGTGGAGGCGGGGAGAGGAGGTCTTTGGTCCGTAGGGGGGGTTAGGGGGCCGGGGACGGGGCGAGGAACAACCAAGTCTCTCAAACTTTATATAGAATTTGAGTTTAAAGAATTGACAGACTAGCGAGTCGAGTCGTATAAAATCTTTTGAGATTGAGAGGTTGATTTCGAGGCTTTGACGGTAACCGCGTTTGATCAAAGATAGTGCAGCCGCGCTGTTTTATTGGAAATACGTAAGCCAGGAGAAAGAGCCTAAAGAAGTAGGTGTGGAGAAGTCCCCGCGCATAGAGCCTGTTCTTTGCTTCAAGAGGGCAGTTGCAGGAGTCAGAGAATGCTACAAAATGTGCGGACCCCTGCAGAGCGGAGGAGCCCTCCTGTGCTTGCCCCGGAGCTCACCCCGCCTGCTGTACGGTTGAGCTTCGTTTTGCAGAAAAGGCTTTTGCAGAAAAGGCTTTTGCAGAAAAGGCTTTTGCAGAAAAGGCTTTAACTTCGTCTGCTGGGGATCGCTTCCCTCCCTCCTCTCCCCAGCTCTCCCTGAATTCGGCCTGCTCTAAGGTTTTATAAGATGCAGTGGTAAACTGGTTTAATGTTTACAAATAATGATTTTACCAGCAGCTTTCTTGCATGGTGTTTTATAAAGCAGGGCATGGGCTCGATTCAGTTTCAAGCCTGCCTGCACCAAGTGCTGGGCGATGGGATACAGGTTTGGTGGCATCATCTCCTTCCCCCCCAGTCTGGCGGACTTTGCAGCTTCTAGAGTTACTTATTTATTTTTTTTCTTGTTTTGCTGAGGAAGATTCACCCTGAGCTAACATCTGTTGCCAATCTTCTCCTTTTTCTTTTTTTAAATGTGAGCTGCCTCAACACCATGGCCACTAACAGATGGGTGGTCTGCGTCTGTGCCTGGGAACTGAACCTGGGCAGCCGTAGCAGAGGGCACCCAGCTTAACCACCAGGCCAGCAGGACTGGCCCTTTAAAGTTGATATAGACAATGGAAGGGCTGCTTTTGAGAGTCTTGACAGACAGGAGATTTAGAAAGTGATTGTTCAGTGTGACACACAGTTTTGCTAAAAAGCACAGTCTAGCCATTGTAATCTGCCCTGTTTTGCTGTGTATTCCTTGCAGTGGTCTGGATGTGGAACGCAGGTTGCAGCTCTCACATTGTGAACTATGCCTTATCTGATTAAGTTCCTGGCAACTTAGTTCCTTGCTGCTTGGGAGCATAAACTTCAAAAAACTTCTAAATATTATAATGTCTTTTAAAAATTGCCTGTGAAGGTTATGTATATACCTAAAGGAATTAATTGTAATCTTACAAATATACTGAGAAACCTTAGGGGAGTGGTCAATAGCTTTACTAGTTCCACTTTGAAAAGTCTGTTGATATACAAAAGCTTGTCTTAAAAATAAAATTTCAGTTACCTTTGTTATTTTCTTCGGATTATAAAGTCCAAAGTTTATTATAGACAGCCTTAACAGAGAGGTCTAATGAAGATAATTTTGCCACCCAGAGGTAGTGACTTAGAGATGACTAATGGTATGTTTCTTTCTGCTCTCAAAGTGTTTTCTGCTTTGAATCTTTTTTCCCTCTTTAGCATTATTTCACAAACATTTCTAATAGCAATATGTTCTTTGAGAATGTGCTTCTCATTGGCTATATACCATCCCATCATATGGAAATACTGTAATTTATTTAACCAAATCCCTTTTGTTTGGATAATTAGGTAATTTCTAATATTCTATTTTTTTCCATGAAGACTATTAAGTAGAATTCACAGCGTCTCTCCAAACCCAGCCCCATGTTTTATGGATGACAAAACAGAGACAAACAAAATACAGTGGATGTATCCAGCCCAAAGATCATACCACTGCGTGGCTACAGAGCCTGAAATGGAGCCTATATCATGTGATTGCTAATTTAGTACCATTTTTATGCCACCACACCCCCTCACACTAGCTAATGACTTTATTCTAATGCTTTGGTCTATTTTATTATTTATTTATCTATTTAGTAAGATTGGCACCCGAGCTAACAACTGTTGCCAATGTTCTTTTTTTTTTTTCTGCTTTTTCTCCCCAAATCCCTCCAGTACATAGTTTTGCATATTTTAGTTGTGGGTCCTTCTGGTTGTGGCATGTGGGACCCCGCCTCAGAATGGCCTGATGAGCGGTGCCATGTCCGCCCCCAGGATCTGAACCAGTGAAAACCTGGGCCGCTGAAGCAGAGAGCACGAATTTAACCACTTGGCCACAGGGCGGGCCCTGCTTTGGTCTATTTTAAATAAATGTAATGAGAAAGCCCATTTATATATCATACAGTTTGCGTAATGTGCTATTTTTCGTAGTAATTAAAATGGTTTACCAAGTTGATATTTCACATTTTGTGAGATTCAACTTGAATTTGTTTCATAACATTTATTTTGTACTTTATTTCTGCATTATTATCATAAAGATTAATATTAATTTTTAGAGAACAAGTTTGGAAATTCACGGTCACCACAAAGTATGGCTATGTAAAATCTGTTGTATTATTTAAAAGTTAAAGGCATATCATTGAACACATAGAAACATGGGCCAGGTGGTCATGTTTCTTAAATGAGAAGAAATTTATTGCTTTATAGAATTGGAAGTACTAGAAATAATACTGTATGTGTATTTATATAAACATACATGTATACCTCAAAGCTTCATACTAAGCAATTGATTTCTTAGTTAACTTGCAGTGATTAAAGATATGAAAATATTTAATGCAATTTTTTCAGCTAAAATGGTTTTTAAACATGCCATCACTTTATAAAGTGGTTTCCTCTAGAAACTATTTATTTAATATGGCATCTAATCTAAACTTTCTCTTTGCTTATTCTTAGATTCCATTATTCTACAAATTGAAGTTGACAGTGATGATGGCAATGATATTAAAATTGAGATAATAGATTCTGACACAGAGTTCACTGAGGATGCATCTTCCACTGATGGCATGTTGACCACACAACCGACTTTTCAAGTCAGCTATGATAGCGATCAGCAACCATCCCAAATGTCACATGGTAATTTTCTTAAATTTCCTCTTCTGTGAAATTTTGCTCCCTGGTGCCCATTTCCAGTAAATTGCTTGAATATTGCTGTAACTTTTACATTAATTAGTTATTATCAGAGGGCCAAGCTTCGTGGTAATATCACAGTGTTTACTTTTGCTTACATTTTCCCTTCATTTAAGCTTTGTCATGTCTCCTTTTTCCTTTTTTCTCTGTGAGGGGTGGGGAGGTAGCCTCAGAAAGCTTTGGGGAGAATGTATTCTCTGTTTCTGAAAAATTATTTATACCGGACAACTGTAATTATAACTATTTGGTGGCAAAGCAAAAACTGAACTTATGGGAAAAACAGCTTGGGTCAAGAGTCCATGGAACAGATGACATGATTGTCTAAGTGGAAGATCTCAAAGAATCAACAAAAAACTCCTGGAACTAATAAGCAATTGTAGCAAGATTGTAGGATATACAGTTAATACCCCAAAGTCAATCCCTTTCCTATGTCAGCAATAAACAATTGGAACTTGAAATTACTTTAGCATCCAAAAAGAGTTCCTGGAAAGTGGGTCCGCAACCAGAAATGCTGTAGCTACTTGTCCTTCCTGCGATGCCCTCTCAATCACAATAATGAAGGAAATGTGAGGCCATTCATCTCCTCACTTATACACAGAGCCAAGAGACACTAACCATTTGGAAGATTTCTTCAGTAGCTATGACAATTTGTTCTTTGCCCCTTGCTTAGAGAATAGGGTTTCCTACTCTTTAAAACATTGAAATGTTATTGCCTAGATTGGAGGTTGGCAGACTTTTTCTGTAAAAGGTCAGATAGTAAATATTTTAGGCTTTTCAGCCAGAGGGTATCTATATTCATAAAGGATATTGGTCTGTAATTTTCTTTTCTTGTAATGTCTTTATCTGACTTTGGTATCAGGATAATTCTGGCCTTATAGAATGAGTTAGGAAGTGTTCCCTCTTCAGTTTTTTGGAATGTGAGGAGGATTGGCGTTAATTCTTCTCTAAGTGTTTGGTAGAATTCACCAGCGAAGCCCTCTGATCTAGGGCTTTTCTTTGCTGGGGGGTTTGTGATGACTGATTCCATCTCTTTACTTGTCATAGGTATGTTGAGATTTTCTATTTTTTCTTGAGTCAGTTTAGATAATTAATTTTTTAAATTCTGAGAAGAAATTATTTTCTCAGAGACCAGCATCAAGCAATTAGGAAATAGATAGGCAAAAACCCCAATTGATAATGGCTACAAATAAATATTAAAAATTCTAAGAAATAAATCAATGAAAAATAGCAGAACCTATAGGAAAGAAAAGCAAATACTTTACTGAGGGTCAGTCATAAAATAAGGTTTGAGTAAGTGGAGAGACACAAATTGTTCTTGGAGGAGAAAAAACACTGTAGTATACCTTAAAAAACCCCCAAGACCTTGGGAAAACATGTTTAAAGGGACAGTTGGTCATTTACCTATCAAACACTAAAACATTTTAAAGGTACAATTATTGAAATATTATGGTACTAGTTCTGAAATAGGAAGCCAGATTTAATGCAATAGGAAGCTCATAAACAAAACATAAAATTTAGAGTTAGTATACTATAGTATGTTAACATGAGAAATGTGGATAGTAAATCATGGTGGTACAAATGCTTAACTATTGGGGGAAAAGGCCCATTGGATTTCATCTCACATAGCACACTTAAATAGTTTCAAGATGAATTAAAGAGTTGAATATCTAATAAATGGAAGTATGGAAAACTAGAAGGAAATAGAGTTGAATGTTTTTCTAATCCCAGCGAAAGATTAAGTATAGAAGCAATTCAAGAAATCACAAAAATATTAATGAATTTGATGAAATAAAAACAGAGAACCCCTTCCTATCTCAAAAACATCAGACTTCAAAATCACATCACCACCTGGGAAAAGTGTTTGCCGAAAATATATGTTTCGAGGGTTATTATCCTTAAGATAGCAAGACCTCCTACAAATCAAACAGGAAACAATGAAACCCCAATAGGGCGATGAGCAGAAGACATGAAAAATAAGTCACAGGACAAGAAATATTAATTGATAGAAAGCATCTGGAAAATATTCAGCTGCATTCGTGGAGCCCTGAAGTGTTCACAGCCTTTGACCTAGTGATTCTTCTAGACATCCATTATGAGGAACTATTCAGAGATGTGCATAAATGTTTATATTTGAATGTGTATACATCATTATAATAAAGTAGTGAAAAATTGGAAGCCATATAAACGTCCCACATAACCTTTGGACATTCACACAATGGAATATTATGCAAAAGCATTTAAAAATATTTTTATAAATGACATGCAAAATTGCTCAGATTATATGTACAGTATGATTCAAACTACATAAAATATATGCAGAGTAAGAAAAGAAGAAGGAAATATATCTAAAGTTTATAATAGCTATTGGTGATGGATTACTTTATTTCGATTCTGAATTTTTTTAGACTTTTTACAGAAATCTGTCACATACAAAAATATGCACAAATCATAAATATATAGCTTAAATAATTTTCAAATTAACATACACCTATAACCAGCACCCATATCAAGAAATAGAAGATTATGAGCTCCCCAGAATCAACCCTCGCCTCTCTCTTGTTACTATCCCCCTCTTGCAAGGTAGCACTATCCTGACATCTCCCACCATTGATTACTTTTGCCTATTTTTGAGCTTTAGATCAATTGAATCATACACTATTGTTTTAGGTTTCTGGACCCAATTCCAAGGTGTGTGTTGTGAGGGGCTTCCCACAGCACTGAACAATTTTCGGACACCAACAGGGTGTCTGAGAATTCAACTCAATTCTGACACTATGTGCCCAGAGATAGCGTCAGATTCCACAGGTTGAGGGCTCAGTGCTACAAGACTCTCCCCCTCCCCGCTTCAGACACCAGTCGCAAGGCCAGGCTCTTACCTGTGCTTCTGACCAATAGGCTGTAAATCGGAGGTTCCCACAACCCCCTCCTCAGGCTCAATTAATTTGCTAGAGCAGCTCACAGAACTTACTTACTAGATTACTGGTGTATTATAAAAGGATATAACAGGAACAGCTGGATGGAAGAGATGCATAGGGCAAGGAATGGGGAAAGGGCCCGGAGCTTCCATGCCCTCTCGAGGTGCGCCGTTCTCCCCAAATCTCCACGTGTTCACTAACTCGGAAGCTCTCCAAACCCTGTCCTTTTTTGGGTTTTTATGGAGGCTTCATTACGTCGGCATGATTGATTAACTCATTGGCCATTGGCGATTGATTCAACCTCCAGCCACTTGCCCCACCCCGGAGGTGGGAGGTGGAATGGGACTGAAAGTTTCAACCCTCCAATCACATGGTTGATTCCTCTGGTGACCAGGCCCCATCCTTAGGTGATCTAGGGGCATTCCAAAAGTCACCTCATTAACATAACAAAAGACTCTTTTATCATTCTCAACACTTAAGAAATTCCAAGGGTTTTAGAAGCTCTGTCAGAAACAAGGATGAAGATGAAATATGTATTTACTATAAATCATAATATCACAACTATGTTCTCTTTTGTGTCTGGCTTTTACTCAACATTATAGGTTATGAGATTCATCCTCGTTGTTGGTAGCAATAGTTGGTTTTCTCATTGCTGTATACTCTTCCTTTGTAATAAAACACCAGTTTAATTATTCTTAACTTGTATTAGTTTTATAATCAGTAAAAAAAAAGTTGAAAAAGTAAAAATTGAAGTTACAGTTCAAATTGGAGGTATTTTATAATTGAATTTCCCCCATAATATTAATCTGCGTTTCTCTAACTTGAGAGTCTTTCTGTCCTTTGGCTTTCTGTCTTCTGAGCCTTTCTTCATTAGGATCTCCACTATGGAATTAAAGGGAAACAGGAAAGGAGACGGAAGGGGCGGAAAAAATTTCCCTTCTTCCCTTCTAGGTTCTTTGGCTGATCTAATAATCAAATTGACATAAAATAGGCATAAAACAGGAGAAAAACAAACAAATTTTATGTGTACAGGAGCTCCATAAAAATACGAGACCCAAAGGGAGCCAGGTAATTGAGGCTTATAAACCATCCTGAGCTAAGGAGAAGGGTAGAGGTCCGAGGACCCCAAGGGGAGGAGGGCCATTCACATATATACAAAGGGAAGGGAGGCGAGGAGATGATTGGAAAACAAAGGCCGTCGTGTTGTGCAGATAAGCTTCTTAGGCAAAAAGGCTTCTCTGGTAATGGGTCTCTTCTGTGGCAGGCCCCCTTTCCAATGTGAATGTAGGCAGTTGAGGGGGTGGTAAAGAGCTTTTCCTGAATCTGCAGGGTTTTGATTGCCTTTAGCTCAAAATAATGCTCATGCCAAAGTGGCATATTCTGGGGTGACAAATTCTGCTCCCCTTCAAGATGAAACTTGAATTCCTTCATCCTGCCTCTCATTACTGCCCTGGCTCAGGATGGCTAACAGGAATCAGGTCCCTCATTAATGCGCCCCTCCCAGGACCATGATGCCAGCCTTCCAGTCTCTACTGCAAGATATAATGTGATAACATTGCACTCAGTGTCTTTTTCTGGTTGCAGAGTTAAATGACTCAGAACCATAACTGAGCCTACATAATTCTAGAAGATTTTTTGGCTTCTATTTCACATACATTTATTTAGGTTGAATATAAAATGGAGCTGCAGAAGCAATCCTAATGTTAGAGCTGAAATGACCTTAGAGACAGTCTCAACCAGTTTTCACCTGGCAGGTGAGGAGGCGGCATCTTTAGTGGTCTGCCCAGTCCACACCGTGGTGGGGGCCCAAGAATAGACTGCTGACTCACATTTGGAGGCCTGCTGCCTCCCTAAGTAAAAAGCCTTTTTGAGCTCCTTGACAAAAGCAGTTAGGAACCTTGTCCTCTTGTTCATCTGTTTCCAGCATTTACTCTGCAGCCTTCATGTTGGGAAGCATCCACTTCACAGTTTGGAACTGTGTTTGGTCTTGATTCTTATTCCTAGACGTGGGCAATATAGCCTTTCAATTTTTAAAGACTTCTTCTAGATCGCTGACGGAAGGATTCTTGTTCTGTCACTCTAAAGTTCAACCAGGACTCTGATTCAAATTGAGTTGGCATTCTGAGAACATATCCGTATTAAGTTTATTAAGGTAGTAAGTGTGTGAAGTTAACTTCTTTATGTGTTGCTTTCCAGGAGTTGAAGGTTTAGTAGTACAAGGTGACCAAGCGATTTCACAAATGAACCATCTGGGAAATTTAGAAAGATATCATCCCGATTCAGCGGAAGTGGAGTTTGACCCGTTGCACAATAGACAATCATCTTTTCCAGAGGAAGATAATATGGTTTGTATATTAAAGTGAAAATCTTTCTTTGTTTTTTCCATTCTGCTTTATTTTTTTAAAAAAATTGAGTTTAATTTCATATAGTGAAATGCACAGATCTTAAGTGTACAGTTCAATGAGTTCTGACAAATATGTATACCCACCTTCCATCAAGATAAAGAACATTTCCATCACCCCAGAAAGTTCTCTCATGCCTGTTTCCAATAAGTCTCCATCTGCCTGAACCTTGGAGAAATACTATTCTTATGGTTTTTCCATCATAGATTAGTTTTGCCTGTTCTAAAACTTCATATTAATAGTATCATACAGTATACGCTCTTGTGTCACTGTCTCTTTTCCTTAGAATAATGTTTTGGAGGTTCATCTGGTTGTAGCAATGTTTCATTGCCGTTTATTGCTGAGTGGTATTTCATTGTATGAATATCCATAATTTGTTTATTCATTCTCCTTTAGAAGGACATTTGGGTTGTTTCCAGTTTTTGGCTATTATGAGTAAGGTGGCTATGAACGTTATTATGGAACTCTCTTTGTGAACGTATGTTTACATTTAATTTGGGTCAATACTCGGGAGTGGAAATACTGAGGTGGATGAAAGTTTATAAGAAATTGCCAAACAGTTTTCTGAAGTGGTTGTACTGTGTTACTTTTCCATCACATTCTGTTCTGCTTCTTGATCTCTGAAGTTGAATAAAATAGATTATTAAACTATAGTTTAGCTTAACAGAGAATGCATTTGTTTACTTACATAAGGATGAGGATAGTAATACCACCTATGTAGTGTAGGCAATTCTCTTAACTTCTATCAGCTCTGATATTTTCATCTTTGGGGATAATTTTAATTGTCTACCAAGAGTCATGGTTTCTGACATAATTATGTGAAAGCGCTTTGAAAAGCAGAAAGCACTATACGAGGGTAAAATAGCAATATTGTTTTCTTTTTTTTTAAAGATTGGCACCTGGGCTAACAACTATTGCTGATCTTTTTTTTTTTCTGCTTTATCTCCCCAAAACCCCCTGTACACAGTTGTATATCCTAGTTGCAGGTCCTTCTGGTTGTGGGATGTGGGACGCCGCCTCAACGTGGCCTGATGAGCGGTGCCATGTCCGCGCCCAGGATCTGAACCCTGGGCCGCCGCAGCAGAGCACGAGAACTTAACCACTCGGCCACGGAGCCGGCCCCTATTGTTTTCATAATTACTAATCTATAGTATAATTCCATATAATTTTTTCTCTCTAATAAGTTTATAATGCAGAACCAATTCAGATAATTTTTAAAACAAAGATATTGATGACTACTTGGTATGTTTATATTAAAATTACTCTTATAGTCCATAATTTATCCTTAGAATAAAGAGTTATTGTAATTAAATTTAATGGTTATTTGCTGTCTATTTACTTATTTATACCCTGTTTTATTCCAAAAAGGGATTTATGGTGACTTAGAGATTAATTTATTAAGAAAAATAGGTACCTTAAATGTTTCCTATTTTGTCCACGGAGTGGCGCTGTTGGATTATTTGAAAATCAAAAGCAATGTAACATTCGGTTCTTTGTTCCTAGTTAGAAACATTTGCTTTTAAAGCAGTTCTGGTGCCAGATTGCAGGAAGACTAGTCTTTCTACCCTAAAGTACCTAAGGGGTCAAGCTTGATGGAAAATAGTCTCTTAAGTGTACTTGGCTACTGAGAAAACAGTTCTGCTAGTACATCTTTTCATGTTGTTGTAGTATTTACAGTGGGCAGAGGTCCTTCAGGGCTTTGGCGCCTCTTGAAAGCAAAATTCAAGTCCCGAACTTTTCTTTCAGCTCTTTCTTTCATATTTCCTTTCGGTTTACTAATAAATCTTCCCTAGGCAAGAACATGAATACCTGATTGTGAAGAAGGTGTCCGTGTCATTAATGAATGCACATCAGACTGAATATTTATGTAATATTAATTGCTAATTGCCAAACATATTCGCACTTACTATCATAAAGAAAACTATTTCTTTTTCAGCCCCTGTGTACTGTGGAGTTACTCTGAACTTGTGAGCTCAAGGAAATATTTCTCTCTCGTGAATTTCTATGCTTCCTTAACAATGAGCACTTAACAAGACAATGAGCACTTAACCGTTTTATTTTCCTCTTTTCCTTATCTAATAGGAAATTCACAGCAGTTTTGTACCCTGTTTCAATAGCTTTTCTAATTTTTGAAATAATTTTAGATTTACGGAAAAGTTGCAAAAATATTACAGAGAGTTCTTGTGTACACACTTCAGACAGCTTCCCTTGATGTTAACTTACCTGCATAACTTAAAATTACGGTAATTGTATAACCACAGTAGAGTTTTCAAAATCAGGATATTAACATTGGTACTGTACTATTAGCTAAACTGCAGTCCGTGTTTGAATTTCACCATTCTCCTTCCCCCATGTCCTTTTCTGTTCCAGGATCCAGTCCAGTATCCCACATTGAATTGAGTTGTGTCTCAGTTTCTTCCACTCTGTGACAGTTGTTCTTTTTTTCTGTCTTTCATGACCTTGACATTTTTGATGAGTGTACCCATCAGTTATTTTGTAAAATGTCTGTCAATTTTGGTATTCTGATATTTTCTCTTGAATAGATTGAGATTATTCATTTTTGGCAAGAACACCACACAAACGATGTCTCCTCATTGAATCATATCAGGAGTACATGGTGTCCATATATCTTTTTACTGGTGATGTTAACATCAGTCACTGGGTTAACATGATATCTTCTGGATTTTTCCACTGTAAAGTTACTGTTTTTTCCCTTTGTAATTAATAACTATCTTGGGTGGGAGGGTACTTTGAGACTATGCTAATATCCTGTTTCTCCTTAACTTTTTGCCCACTGAGTTGAGTTAGCTCATAGATTTTACCTGCAACATTCACTACTGTGGTGTTTCCCTAATAATGGTGACTCTCTATTTCCCTCATTTCTTTGTATTTATTAATCGGAATTCATTTGTAAGGAAGAGCTGTCCTCCTCCATTTATTTATTCAATTATATATTGTATATCAATATGGACTCATGGGCATTTATTGTATTATATGAGTTATAATTCAATATTATCATTTTATTGATCACATTTTTTAGCTTTGGCTATTGGGAGCTCCTTCCAGTTGGCTCCTGTGGCCTTCTGACATGCCCCCACTTCTTTTTTGAGTGCTTCCTTATTTTCTGACATCATGAGTTGTTCTGGGTTCATTTATACTTTCCCTGCCCCAGCCCTGGAATTCACCTATCTCCAAGGAACCCTGATTCCTTTTATTGGAGAGTGGCATTTGGAAACCAAGATCTGGACACTGGGTGTGTTCATTGCTACTCTTGTGTCATTGATCTTAGGCCCTCTCAGTGGACAGAGCTAGGAAATAAATGTATGTGTGCTAATCCATGTGTACACAAAAATCTATATTTCTATACCTGGCTTTATATATATTATAAACTATATGTTCAAACTGGTATTCAGTACCTTTTCTTGAACTTAGGTTCTTATATAATAACTTCTTTCCTTACCCCCATTTTTAATCAGCTCTTATCTTTTTGGTTGTCATATGAATGTGGGTTTTGGTTTTACTTTATCTCTGCTTTATATTATAAGACTTCTGAAATGTTTTGGAATGTAGGCGAAAAGAAAAACAATTAAAATCGATAAATATATAAAGTGTTATTTTTTCCTAGTGCTTAATTTGACTCCTAGCGATATTTAGCACTGACTATTTATTTTTATAATATTAATAGATGAGCGATGCATCTGAAGTTTTCCATGCTGAAAATCATCAAAACCAACTTATGGAAGTTCAACAGTGTTGTGAGGTATCAAAGTTCTGTCTCTTAAATGTAGTTTTCCAGAATACTGAGCTAAAATTTTTTTCCCTCATTTAATGTCATTGTACTATTAATAGAAATTTGCTATGCCAAGTTCTGTATGATTATCACTCCATTGCAATACATTTAAAAAAATTTCTGGTTAGAACCGCATCCCTAGGTGAAAAACTTGGAATAAAAATTCAGCTTTTCTAGCCTTAAACAACAACAACAGCAATAGCCCATAACTGGTCAAATGTAGGTAAGTCTCTTTCATCTAGATTGGTCAGTATTTAATTTCTCCAACATACTCTTTTAAGGAAATTGGCTGATTTGGATGAAATTTAGGATGTGCCTAAATGCATATCAAGATATCTCATTTGAAACAAAATGGCAGCCCACCACTGTTCTTTAAAGAGTCTATCTTACATAGCTTTGAGGGGATTTTGTAAAAATTAGTATGTTGGTAGAGATTGATGGAAGTATGTAATTATCAAGGATTTTGTGAGCTGCATACCCTAGAGCTAATGATGTTTATAAAAAATAAACGTTTCTTAACATACAAAGTTTCTTGAATAAAATGAGCTAGCATACTTTGAAAAGTAAAAAATGTTTACATGAGTTTTATCATTATTATTGAGAACAGAAGTGGAATGCTTAAAGGGAACATATCAAGTCTTCTGGGGAGGATGTACAGAGGGTGGGATGTAGCGGGGAAGGAGGGCTTCTGATTGTGAGCAGGGCTGTCCCTGGCCTGCCTTACACAGGCATCCATGACCACCGAGGTTGATGCTGCTTTGCCAGGGCCTTCTGAGCAATTGCACAAGGTGTGGTGGGATATGGCATCTATGATAAGAAATGCCCAGGTTCCAAAGTTACCCCTGAAATGGGCCAAAAGGGCTCCTGTTCATTTCTCCTAATCTGCTAGCTCTCTCCTTTCTTCAGCTCCTTCCCTTACCAGTCTAGACCACATGGTGCAGCACTTTCATGTTCTCCTTTTTTATCCTTGCCCAGCATCCTCTTTAGTAAAACTGTCCAGTCTGGGAAGCAGAGGGAGGACCTCTGCTGGGACCTGTCCACGGCCCTGTAATCCTTCAACAGCTCTCTAGTCAGCTCTCTCTCCCATCCCCGAGGAGCTCAGGCATCCCAATCCTTGCCTCTTATTTCATGGAGAAGATGGAGGGCATAGAGCAGAAATCCCCTCCAAGTCCTGATTCCTCTCCCCATAGCCAACAAATTTGCCTGGATCCATCCCTGCTGACCTCCTTCCTGAATATTCGAATGGGAAAGGTGTCTTCCTCTGTAAGGCTAATGCCTTTGCACGTTTTCTGCATCTGACCCTCTTTCCCTGTGCTCAGACACTTCCCTTCCGTCATCCCTCTCTCTCCTATATCTTCAGCTTCAGTCTCTGTCTCTCTCTCAGCATGTTCTCCCACAGTTTAAAAAAATCTCTTCTTTTGGCTTCCCGTCCCTCTTTAGCTGTCATCCTTTCTCTTTCCTTCCCCTTAATAACCCAGCTCTTTGAACATCATTTATATTCACTGTCTAAACATCTGACTTCCTGTTTTTGTCTCTCTTTTTTAATCATAAAAGTAAGACATATGCACATAGTTCAAAGAAAAGTTAAACAGTAGAGAGTGGGCTTCACTGAAATAAGGAAGTCCCCACCATTTTTCTTTCCACCCTCAGCTCTATACTTTGGAGGTAACCACTTTTAATAGTCTTTATTTTAAATTTTTCTTGTGGTTTCTGCCGTTATCTAAATAATATACCTATACTCTATTTCTTTTGGTGTTAACTTGCGGTGTTAACTATTAACTTTACCACTGTGAAAGATGTGGAATTTAGCTCTTTCATCTTCCTCACCCTGAAATTAGTTATACTCTTACTTGTAGTTCTCTATTGCTTACTGTTAGTTTTTACTAATAAACTTCTGTTACTTGTTATATCAGCTTTCAACAGCAGTCTTTGAACCGCAGTCATGCCCCATCACATAAGAATCAGAAATTAGCAATCCACAGACTATCCTCTACTTGTCTTCCTTCCACTTCCCATTTCTCATATTCCTAACACTGTCAACGTGTATAAATTCTGCTCTGTAAACTATCAATAAGCCTTCCATGTTTTGGATATAGGTTATTTCTAAAAATCAAAAACAAATAATCCGTACTTACAATAGTAGGATTTTGTAAACATTATTTTCTATAGAACCAAATCATGTCATTGGCCTCTCATAGGGAAAGAAATAGAATGTTATGTTGCTGATTCTCTGCTGGTCAGTGTCCCGAGCATCGAGGTCAATGGATTCTCTCCTATATTCTACCAGCACTCAAAATCATGTCATATTCTAGTTGGCTTTCTGTTTGGACTATGGCTTTATTTGTCTAAACATTTGCTTATGTAGGAGATTTTTTCCTCTTGGAGTTTCTGCTGAGCTTTTATTTATTTATTTTTGTTGAAAAAAGAAATACACATTTTTCATCTCTTTGCTAGGATTTTTAAGCTTCAGAGTCATTCTCCATGTTGAATGGGATCTACTTTCTTCTTAAAGTCGTTTTTACGCAAATCCTTCCTGTTCTAATTTGAACCAATTACTTTGTAGGCACAACTGTCGTCTCAGTACTTCTTTCAGTTGCCTGCTGTTTCTTGGAGCCCATGGCTTCCTCATCTTGGATTCCCCTCTGGTTTTCTTCTTCATTTTCCCTGAGTAACTACCCCTTAAACATTTTTTTCCCAGAAATGTGCATATGAGTTAAATTTCTAGAGTCTTTGCATATCTGAAATTGTCTTTATGTCCCTTTATATCTCTTATGTCCCACATTTGTCTCTCACACTGAGTATGGATATCTGTGTTCAGAATTACTTTCCCATAGAAATTCTATTCTAGCATCCAATGTTCTTGAGAAATCTGTTAGTATTATGATTCTTTATAGGTGAAATTTTTTCTCTGTCTTTGGAAACTTTTAGAATCTTTTCTTTATCCCTTTTCCATATATCCTGCTTAGCACTACATGGACCCTTTAAATTTGAAGATTTGCGTCATTCTTTAGCTCTGGCAGAATTTTTTCTTCATTTCCTCCTTTCCATGTGCTCTATTCCCTCTATCTGGAATGACTTTTAGTTGGATGTGACAACCCCTACATCATTCATGTTGCTTAATGTTTGTCTCGTTTTCTGGCTCTTTGACCTATGTACAGTGTTCTGGGTAATACTCTTAACTTTATCTTCCTGATGTTCTGTTTATTTTTCTTTGACAAAGTCAATCATATTTATAATTTTCAGTAATTTGTTCTTATTTTCTGATTGTCACTATTTTTTTTTTTATTTTTTTAAATTTTTTTTCCTTTTTCTCCCCAAAGCCCCCCGGTACATAGTTGTATATTCTTCGTTGTGGGTCCTTCTAGTTGTGGCATGTGGGACGCTGCCTCAGCGTGGTTTGATGAGCAGTGCCATGTCCACGCCCAGGATTCGAACCAACGAAACACTGGGCCGCCTGCAGCGGAGCGCGCAAACTTAACCACTCGGCCATGGGGCCAGCCCCATGATTGTCACTATTTTATAGCGTTATATTCTTGTTTTGTGGATGTGCGAAATCAACCTGAATAATCTCTTCAGGCATACTGTTTGGATTATTAAAAGTATTCTTCTGTTTTTGAAATTACATCTTTCTCTTCTAAGTTCATTTGTACCGTCCATTGGTCCCTCTCTGCTCAGTCTAAATCTACCTGAACGATTTCCTCTTCACCAAAGGTTTTGATTCAGTACAGTTCTGACTCTCAAATCTATGTCTTACCCTATGCTGCTCCCCCTAGAATCATGTTTGTATCTAGGCGCCTGCTGGAGAACTCTATATAATGTGTACAAAATCATCTTTTCCATATTCCCTCTCTCAGGTTAACTACCATCATCTCCTTAATTGTTTAAGCCAGAAATTGAGACACTGTCCTTGATTAGTTCCTTCCCCTCTCCCCCATTTACCAAATCCTGATGGTTCTCTCTCCTTAATATCACTCAAAACAGTTTTTTCCATTGTAATCACCACGATCTTCATCCAGACCCTCATCATTTTTCATTTTGAACTTTTCTAAAAATGAGTCTACCTCATGTCATTCTTGTGCTTGAGTTTCTATTGCCTTCAGAGTAAAAAACTAGCTATGGTACTACTTGCCTCCCCAGCCACCTTTCCGAACACTTTTTCCTCTTAAGTCTCCTGCTTTGCACTAAACTGGAAATAGTTCTCTAAATATATTATGCTTATTCATGTTCTGGTATTTTTTAATATGCCATTCCTTCTGCCCTGTATGCCCTTCCATGCATCCTTACCTGGTGAACAATTTCTCATCTTTTAACTCTCAATACAGGCATATCCTTCTCTGAAAAGCCTGCCATGACTGCCAGCCTGGGTTAGGTCCCCTTTTTCTGTGCACGCTTAGCCTCCTGTTCTTACCTTTGTCGTGGCACTGGTAATAATAATGATAATAGACAACTGAACACCATTGGACCGGTCATCATGTAGTATTTGTTGTTATTATTATGTTAGTATTAACATAATATTATAGCACCTCGCTGTGTCCTCAAGAGAACTCTGAGAGAGATTTTCACAATCTATTGAGAGATTGAAGTGCAGAGAAGTTAAGTAACTTGCCCAAGGTCGCAGAACCAAGGAGTGGCAGAACGCTAATGTTTGAACCCAACCTCATCCCCTAGAGCCTGTGCTGTTTACCTTAGTGCTCTAGGCCGGTGGGTCTCACACTTGATTGTGCATCAGAATCACCTGGAGGGCTTGTGAAAACACAGATCTCGGAGCCCCACTCTCAGAGTTCCCGAGTCAGTAGGTGATATTGATGCTGCTGGTCCACGGACCACACTTTGAGACCCGCTGCTCCAGGCTGCTGATCACTTTCTCTGTTGAAATTGTCTCTTTACTTGTCTCTCTTTCCAGCTACAGTGGGAGTTCCTAGGGCAGGAGCTGGCTTTTTCCTTGTTTTTAACGTCTGTGTTCCCAGCATCTAGCAGAGTGGCCCTGACAGGTGGTGGGCCCTCAGTAAATGTTTATTTGAATGCGTGAGTGAGGAAGTGGTTCTGGCCTCTTCCTTAAGTGTATCTTCTGCCCGAATGAAATTTCTGCGTATTTCAAGAATTCTCAGGTTTTATCAGTCACACACCTGATTGGCATGCAGGGGACGCATACGCAAAGGTTTTCTAAGGTTCATTGTTGATTGCACGATTTTAAAATACTTTGAAGCCAAAAGTCACATCTGTTCTATTTGGCTCATTGTTCTTTCCTGAGTGGAACGCTCACTGCCTATTAGTTCAATACCATCATTATATGGAAAGAGGCTCTTTGGCCTTGTAGCAGATTTGAAAGTTTCTTTCCTAAAATAGCACCTTCCTTGATGTAAAATGCCTCCATCATAAATGTGACGGCTTCCAGGAATTGTGGTACGCTGACTCTCCAGTAGCAAAGCTGAAAATGCTGGCATGACGTGGAGTAGCTGAGGAGGAGATGGGGCTCCTTACCTCAGCCGGCTCGGCTCCACGTCGCCTAAAACCAGGCATCAAGTGGGAAACAAGACATTTCTGACGGCTTGAGAACTTTGTTTCTAGCAGTTAAAATTTGGCTTATTGATCTTTTTATATGTTACTTTTCTTTTGAAATAGGAACTACTAAAATATTTTTTTATTATAATAGGATTTGCGTGAACTTATTGAAAACACGAATAGACAGGTTAGCCACCTTTATGGAATCGTTGCAAAAGATCAACATTCTTGGGAGAAACCATTATCAGTCAATTACGTAAGTGTCATAAAAACATTTTTACTGAGCCAGCCCTGATAGCCTAGTGGTTAAAGTTTGGCACGCTCTGTTTTGGCAGCCCAGGTTTGGTTCCCAGATGCAGAACCACACCTCTTGTCTGTCACTAGCCATGCTGTGGTGGTGGCTCACATAGAAGAACTAGATGGACTTACAACTTGAATATACAACTATGTACTGGGGCTTTGGGGAGGGAGAAAAAAGAGGAAGATGGGCAACAGATGCCAGCTTAGGGCGAATCTTCCCCAGCAAGCCCCCTGCCAAATTCTTACTACTTTGATAAATCTCTAGTTCCTAAATCCTAAAGATGCCAGTCAGTTAGAAGTGAGTGAACCAATAACTGTGAGACTGCAAGTCTGATCCAGAATTACTTTAGTAGCGCATAGGAGACTAAACCTCTGTGGGAAGAATGCTGAAGTTAAGGTTTGAGAAATTATGACACTGAATATTTTTATGTTTGTAACCATAATGTAGGAAATGCAATCAAAATGTAGGGTTGAAGAGGAATAAAAATCATATATTAAAAATTCAGCATTTGTCTTTAATTGTGGAAAATGATGTTGCAGGGAAAATAGGTGTTAATGCTTTTGCTAACTTTTTAATTCTTATTTTTACTCACAGATGATTTATATTGGGTCTGTGTCATTTTAGAGGGTAACTAGATTTACACAAAAAAGTTTTGATTGTATACTTCATGGAGAAATTAAAGTCCAGGAACCAAAGAAAACCCATTCTGTTCTCTTACCCTGGACAGGGAGATGGCGGGCTGTCTTTGCCAGTGGAAAGTCGGGAAAGCTCTGTCCAGACCAACTCTGTAGGAACGTCTCTTCAGTCAAATGCACGCCTGGAACTGCAGCAGCCGCTCCTCCAGGAGAGTCCACTTCCCAAGATTGTCTCCACACATTCTTTACAGCCATTTTATACACCAGGCGGCCCCGTACCTGGTCTTGCTGTCCTATCCTGTCCTTTGGGCGAAGATGTCAAAAGTATCAACAATGTTACCTCATCTGCCCAGGCTCCTCTAGCAGTACCTACAGCACTTCTGCCACAAGGGGAACTCGGTCTGGCCAACATCCCTGAGATGATGCACTGCTCAGTTTTACTGGGAAATAACAGCATGGGTCCAGACGCTGCCTCGTCATCTCTTGGCACTCCTCCCAATTTTGGTGAGTTTGAAGTGGCACATATTATAGATAGCATCCTTTAATCTAGATTAAAAATCATCCTTAATGCAAACTAGAGCTATTCTTTTTTAATTAAAAGTTTTATAGTGAAATAATTGTAGAGTCACATGCAGTTGTAAGAAATAATACAGAATGATACTCTTTACCCAGTTTCCCCCAATGGTAACGTCTTGTAAAACTACAGTAAAATATCACAACCAGGTTATTAATGTTGATATAAGCCATGGATCTTATTCAGCTGTCCCCAGTTTGACTTGTATTCATTTGTGTGTCTGTGCATTTAGTTCTATGCAATTTTATTACGGGAGAAGTTTTGTATGTCTACCACCATAGTCAAGGTACAGAACATTTTCACCACCACAAAGATCATTTGTGTTGTCCTTTTATAACCACACCCACCACCCTCTGGTGGCCCTGCCCTTCCCATTCCACTGTCCCTAACGCTTGGCAGTCACTGATCTATTCTTCATCTCTAGAACTTTGTCGCTTCCAAATTGTTATATAGTTGAATGCGTATAGGTCATAAACTTTTGATATTGGCTTTTTTCACTCAACATAAGTCCCTGGAGATAACCAAGTTGTTGCGTGTATCTCTAGTTACTTCCTTTTTGTTGCTGAGTACAATTCCATGGTATAGATGTGCCATAGTTTATCCAGTCATCTGTTGAAGAAAATTTTGGATTTTTGTTTTCCAGTTTTTAACTCTTAGGAGTAAGGCTCTGTGAATATTCACGTACAGATTTTAGTGTAAATAAAAGTTTTCATTTCTCTGACATGAATACCCAAGAGTGCAATTGCTGGTTATATGTTAATTGCATGTTTAGTTTTATGAGAAACTACCTGTTTTCCAGTGTAGCTGTGCCATTTTGCATTCCTGCCAGTTATGTATGAGTGATCCAGTTTATCCGCATCCATGTTTCTGCTCTTTCCATTGTTCTTTTTTTCTTCTAATGTTTCATGATTCCTTCTTTGATCATGTTTTTCTGATAGGCTTTCCATTAACCTTTCTTTAAAAGTAAGTCTGCTGGGGACAAAAAATCTTTTAGTTTTCCTTTCTGTGAGAATGTCTTTATTTCCCCTTCTTTCCTGAAGGATAGTTTCACCCAGTATGGAATTTGTGGATGAGAGTTCTTGTATTACAGCTCCTGAAAACTTTTTATTTATAGAAATGCCGGTAACAGCAGAAACCAGCTTTGAAAACGGTGCTGAGTCAATGTATTACCCAATTTTATTGGGAAATGACAGTGGCCAAGATACTGACTCTTCATCTGTCTTCATCCTTCCTGATTTTGGTGAGTTTGAAATGATACACATTACAAATAGCAGTGTTTAATCTAGATTCACCAACATCCTTAATGCAAGTCAGTGGTAGCTCTTTTTTAATTAAGCTTTTTATTTTGAGATAATTTTAGATTCATGTGTAGTTTTAAGAAATTACACAGAGTGCCCATTTGTGCTTTACCCATTTTTCCTAACGATAATGTCTTGCAAAACTAGTAAAATATTACCCAGGATACTGACATTGATTAAATCCACATTTGTGTGTGTGTGTGTGAATGTGTATTTGGTTTTGTGCAGTTTTATTCTATGAGTCGGTGTGTCTGTCCGCCACCATGGTTGTGATACAGAACACTTCCGTCATCACCACAAGGACCCTTCACATTGCCCTTTTGTAACCACAGCCACCTCCCTCTGGTCACCCTTTCCTCCCACACTGCCCCATCCTAACCCCTGGAAAGCAATGAACTCACCTCTCTTTCTATAATTTTGTCACTTGAATATTGTTATTTAAGTGGAGTAAAATACTAAATAACCTTTTGGGCATGGCTTTTTTTTTCACTAAACATAATTTCCTGGAGAGTCATACCAATTGTTGCATGTATCAATAATTCCTTCCTTTTTATTGTTGAGTACCATGCCATCATATGGATATACAACTGTTTATCTGTTTATCCATTGAAGGACATCTGGGATATTTGCAATTTTTGGCTATTTCAAGTTAAAGTCTATCAACAGTCATGTACGGGATTTTGTGTAAACATAAGTTTACATTTCTTTGAGATGAATGCCCAAGAGGGCAATTCTGGGTCATATGGCAATTCCATGTTTAGTTTTATAAGAAACTGCTAAAATTTTTTTCAGAAGATCAGTCCCATTTTACCTGCCACCTGTAATATATAAGTGATACAATTTCTCTACATGCATATTTCTTCTCTTTCTATTGTTCTTTCTTTCTTCTTGATGCTCAAAGATCCATTGTTTCTCATATCCTTTCTGTTTGAAGATTTTCCTTTAGCCTGTCTTTAAGGGTATGTCTGTAAGGGAAAAGTTCTTTTAGTTTTTGTTCATGTAACAATGTCTTTATTTTCCATAAATTAATGATGGACAGTTTTGCTATGAATAGAATTAACTTTGAGAGTTCTTTTCTTAAGCATTTGAAAAGTGTTCTTTCTGTGTATACACCAAAAATAGCAGAAACCAACCTGGAAAACAACCCTGAGGCAATGAATTACTCAACTTTATGGGGAAATGACAATGGCCAATGTTCTTCCTCTTCATCTGTCTGCCTCCCACCGAATTTTGGTGAGTTTCAAATGATACGTATTACAAGTAGCACTGTTTAATCTAGATGCATCAACATCCTTAATGCAAGCTAGTAGTAACTGATTTTTTAAATTAAACTTTTTATTTTGAAATTATTTTAGATTCACATATGTTTGTAAGAAATAATACTAAGAGATCCCGTTTAGACTTTGCCCTTTTTTCCCAATGATAACATCTTCCAAAACTATATCAAAATATCACAACCAGGGTATTGACATTGATGTAATATGCAGATGTTATTGAGATGTTCCCAGTTTTACTTGTAGTAATTTGTGTGTATTTATATTTATTTCTATCTGATTTTGTCACATGAGTAAGTTTGATATCCACCAGCACAGTCAAGATACAGAACATTTCCATCACCACAAGGATGCCTCGCCTTGCCCTTTTATAACCACACCCACCTCTCTCAGGTCGCCCCTTCCTTCTCCATGCCTGTTCCCTAACCCCTGGCAAACAGTGGTCTCTATAATTTTGTCACTTCAGAAGTGTCATATAAAGGGAATCTTATGGTGTGTAACCCTTGAGGATTGTGTTCCTTTTACTCAGCATAATTCCCTGAAGATTCTCCCAGGTTGTTGCGTGTATCAATACTTCTTCCCTTTGTATTGCTGAATAGTTTTCTATGATTTCAATATGAGATAGTTGTTTTTAACCATTCACCCATTGAAGGACATCAGTTTTTTTTCAGTTTTTCATATTAGGAAGAAAGCTGCTGTGAACATTTATGTACTGTTTTTTGTATAAATATAAGTTTTTATTTCTGTCGTGAATGCCCAGAGTGTAATTGTTGAGTCTATGGTAATAGCATGTTTAGTTTTATAAGAAACTGCCAAACAGTTTTCCAAAGAGGCCGTACTATTTTTCATGCTCACTAGCAATGTATGGGTGATCAGTTTCTTCTCATCCTTATTTCTGTTCTTCCCATTGTTCGTTCTTCCTTCCTGATGCTCCAGATTTCTTTCTTTCACTATATCCTTTCTGTTTGAAAATTTTCCTTTAGCCTTTCTATACGGGTAAGTCTGCTAGGGACAGATTCTCTTAGTTTTCCTTTGTTTCAGAATGTCTTTATTTCATCTTTTTCCTGAAGGATACTTTCGCCTTAGAATTCACTGTTGAGAGTTCTTTTCTTTCAGCACCTGAAAAACTCGTACTTATAGAAATGCCGAGAAAAGCAGAAACTGGCCTGGAAAACAGCTCTCAGACAATGTATTACCCAGCTTTATTGGGAAGTATCACTGATCCAGATACTGACAATTCATCTCTCTCCCTGCCACCTGATTCTGGTGAGTTTGAAATGATAGATAGTTCAAGTAGCACTGTTTAAATCCATCAACATCCTTAATACAAAGCAGTTGCAGCTCTTTTTTAAAGTTTTTATTTTGATGTAATTTAAAATTCACATGCAGTTGTAAGAAATAATACCGAGAGATCCAGTTTGTGCTTTACCTATTTTCCTCAATGATAACAGCTTGCGAAACCATAGGGCAGTGTCACTCTCAGATATTGACATTGATGCAATCCACAGATGTTATTGAGATGCCTCCAGTTTTATTTGTATGTGTGTGTGTGTGTACATGTTCATGTGTGTAATTAGCACTATGCAATTTTATCACATGAGTAGGTTTGCGCAGCCACCCCACAGTCAAGGTAGAGGTCATTCCCATCACTCGAGGATTCCTCATTATCGCCCTTTTACAACCACACCCACCCTCCCCTCCTCTAAGACCTATCCCTAACACCTGCCTACCACTGATCTCTTCTCCGTTGCTATAATTTTATCTCTTCAGATTGTTATATAAGTGGAATCATACACTATGGAACATTTTGGGATTAGCTCTTTTTCACTCAGCTTAATTCCCTAGAGATTCATCCAGTTTGTTGCATGTGTCAATAGTTTTTACTATTATTCCTGAATAGTATTCCATGCTATGGATATGCTACATTTTGTTTAACTGCTCACCTGTTGAAGGACATCTGGGTTTCTTTCAGTTTTTGGCTATTAGGAGTAATAAAAAAAAGCAGCTATAAATATTCATGTACACATTTTTGTGTAAATATAAGTTTTCATTTCTCAATAGGTCCTTTGTATTGATGGAGAGTTTTCCATGATATAGATATGCAACAGTTTTTTTAAAAAACCATTCGCACATTGAAGGACATCTGTTTTTTTTTCTTTCCAAGTTTCTGGATACTACAAGTAAAGCTGCTATGAACATTCATGCACTGGTTTTTGCGTAAATATAAGTTTTCATTTGTCTGTCATGAATGCCAAGAGTGCAACTGCTAGGTGTTATGGTAATAGCATGTTTAGCTTTATAAGAGACTGCCAAACAGTTTTCCAGAGACGCTGTACCATTTTACATTCCCAACAGCGATGTATGGGTGATCCAGTTTCTCTTCATCCATATTTCTGATCATTCCGTTGTTATTTCTTCCTTCCTCATGCTCTAAGATTCCGTCTTTCATAGTATCTTTTCTGCTTGAAGATTTCCCTTTAGCTGTTTTTTTTTTATTGAGGTCACATTGGTTTATAACGTTACATAAAAATCAAGAGTACATCATTATACTTTGACTTCTGTGTAGACCACATTATGTTCACCACCCAAAGTCTAGTTGCCATCCGTCACTGTTCACATGTGCCCTTTTACCCCTTTTGCCCTTGCCACCTCCTCTCTGGTAACCACCAGTCTATTCTCTGTCTCTGTGTATTTGTTTGTTGTTATTTTTATCTTCTCCATATGGGTCCAATCATATGGTATTTGGCTTTCTCCATCTCACTTATTTGGCATAATAACCTCAATCCTTTAGCTGTTTTTTAAGAGTAACTCTACTAGGGACAATTTTTTAAAAAATTTTCCTTTGCGTCAGAATATTTTTATTTCCCCTTCTTTCCTGAAGGATAATCTCACCCAGTAGAGAATTCACAGTTGAGAGTTCTTGTCTTCCAGCAGCTGAAAAAATTGTACTTGTAGAAATGCCGGGAAAAGCAGAAACCAGCCTGGAAAACAGCTCTCAGGCAGTGTATTACCCAACTTTACTGGGAAACGACAGTGGCCCGGATACTGCCTCTTCATCTGTCTTCATCCCATCCAATTTTGGTGAGTTTGAAATGATACATCTTTCAAGTAGCACTGTTTAATCTAGATCCATCAACATCCTTAATGTGAGCTAGTGGTAGCTCTTTTTTAAATTAAACTTTCAATTTTGTGGTAATTTAAGACGCACATGTAGTTGTAAGAAATAATACAGAGAGATGCCGTTTATGCTTTACCCGTGTCTCCCAACAATAACATCTTGCAAAACTATAATAGAACATCACAACCAAGATATTGACATAGATACAATCAGCAGATCTTACTGAGATTTCTCCAGTTTAATTGTATTGATTTGTGTGCACGTGTTTAGTTGTATTCGATTTTATCACATGAGTAGGTTTGATGTCCACCATCACAGTCAAGATATCGAACATTTCTGTCACCGTAAGGATGCCTCATATTGCCCTTTTATAATCATACCTATCTCAGTATAATTCCCTGGAGATTTATTTGACTTGTTGCATGTATCAGTAGTGTATCTTTTTTATTGCTGAGTACTATTCCATGGTATGGATGTACCATGGTTTGTGTATTGGCTCACTGTGGAAGAACTGGACTTCCCCCCCTCAATTTTTAGTATTACAAGTAAAAATTGCTATGATTGTCCATGTACAGGTTTTTGTGTAAACAGATGTTTTGCCTTCTCTTAGATAAATGTCCAAAGTGCAAATGCTTGGTTATATGGTAATTGCATGTTTAGTTTTATAGGAAACCGCCAAACAGTTGTACAGGGAGGCTGTACCGTTTTACTTCCTGCAAGCAGTGTATGAGTGATCCAGTTTCTCTGCATCCATATTTATGCTGCTTTCATTGTTTTTTCTTCCTTTTTGATGCTCCAAGATTTGTTCTTCCATCATTCTTTTCTAATAGATTTCCCTTTGGCCATTCTTAAGTCTAAGTCAGCTAGTGACAAATACTTTTAGCTTTTCTTCATGTGAGAATCATGTGAGAATGTCTTTATTTCCCCCCCCCTTTTTTTTTTAACAATTTAGATGTTCATTTCTGTTTTTCAGCTTTGTTGAGGTATAATTGACAAATTAAATTGTGATATATTTAAAGTGTACAATGTGATGATTTGAAATAGGTATACACTGTGAAAGGATTGTGTCAAGTTAGTTAACACGTCCATTACTTCATATATTTACCTTTTATTTTTTGGTGGCAAGAACGGTTAAGTTCTACTCTCTTAGCAAATTTCAACTATACAATACAGTATTATCAGCTCTGGTCACCATGTTATACTTAGATCTTCAGGCCTTCTTCATCTCCTAGCTCAAAGTTTGTACCCTTTTACAAGCCTCTTCCCTATTTCCCCCACCCCGCGCCCCCTGGCAACCACCAATCTACTCTTTTTCTATGAGCTCAACTTTTTCTCTTTCTTGAGATTCCACGTATAAGTGATTTGTCTTTCTCTGTCTGGCTTATTTCACTTTGCATAATGCCCTCTGGGTTCATTCATGTTGTCCCAAATCTGCTCAAATCTTGAAGGATAGTTTTGCCTGATACAGAATTCATGGTTGAGATTTCGTGTCTTTCAGTACTTGAAAATATTTTACTTATAGAAATGTTGGGAAAAGCTCAAACCAGCCTGGAACAGAGCTCTGAGACAACAAATTATCCACTTTTATTGGAAAACAATAGTGGCCAAGACATTTCCTTGTGTTGCTGCATTCCTCCCAGTTTCGGGGAGTTTGAAATGATACTTATGACACATAGCACATTTAATCTAGATTTGTCAACATCCTTAGTGCAAGATAATGGTAGCTTTTTCTTTTTCTTTTTTTTTTTTAAAGATTTTATTTTTCCTTTTTCTCCCCAAAGCCCCCCGGTACATAGTTGTGCATTTTTAGTTGTGGATCCTTCCAGTCGTGGCATGTGGGACGCCTCCCCAGCATGGCCTGGTGAGTGGTGCCATGTCCGTGCCCAGGATTCAAACCGGCAAAACCCTGGGCCGCCAAAGCAGAGCGCATGAACTTAACCACTCGGCAATGGGGCCGGTCCGGCTTTTTCTAATTAAAGTTTTTATTTTCAGAAAATTTAGTTGCACATGCAGTTGTAATAAATGGTACAGAGAGATCCTGTGTTCCCATTTCCCAGTTTCCCCCAATGGTAACATCTTGTAAAATGATAGAAAATGATCACAATCAAAATACTGACATGATACCATTCACAGATATTATTGAGATGTGCCCAGTTTCACTTGTGTTAATTTGTGTGTGTGTTTAGTTTGATGTAATTTTATCATATGTGTAGGTTTGCGTATCCTCTACCACAGGCAAGCCCTGAAACAGTTCCATCACCACCATGATCCCTCATATTACTGTTTTATAACCATACCCACCTCCCTCCAGTTGACATTTTCCCCCCTCTCCCAGCCTCTGCCCTGTCTCTAACTGCTGGCAACCGTGAATCTGTTCTCCAGACCTATAATTTGTGCCTTCAGGATTTTATATAAATGGAATCATGTGGTGTTTGAGATTAGCTTCTTTCCCTCAGTCTAATTCATTGTTGTGTCTATCAGTTGGTCCTTCTTTTTTATTCCTGAGTAGTATTTCATGATATGGATGTACCATGGTTTATTTATCTGTTCGCCTTTTGAAAACCTCTGGGTTTCCTGGTTTTGGCTGCTAGGAGTAAAGCTGCTATGAATACTTGTTCATAGCTTTTAATTTCACTTCATCTCACTCTTTCACAGCTTTCATTTGTCTGGGATGAATGCCCAAGAGTGCAATTTCTGGGTCCTCTGGTAATTGCATCCTTAGCTTTATGAGATACTGACAAACTGCTTTCCATTGTGGCTGTACCATTTTCCATTCCCGCTAGGAATGTATGAGTGATCCAGTTTCTTTGCATCTATTTCTGCTCTTTCCATTGTTCTTTTTCCTGCTTGATGCTCCAGAATTCTTTTTATTATACGCTTTCTCTTTGAAGATTTTCCTTTAGCCATTTTTTAAGCATGTCAGTTAGTGACAAATACTTTTGGTTCTCCTTTGTCTGTACATATCTTTATTTTTGCCTTATGATTGAAGGATGATTTCATTGGATTTAGAATATGAGGTTGGGAGTCTTTTCTTACAGCATTTGAGAAATGTTTTCCTTATAGAAATGTTGGTCAAAGCAGAAACCAGCCCGGAAAGGAACACTCCGGTGATGAATTATCCACCTTTCTTGGAAAATGGCAGTGGTCAAGACACTTCATCATATTTCTTCATCCCTCCCAGTTTTGGTGAGTTTGAAATGATACATATTACAAGTAGAACTGTTTAATCTAGACTCATTACCACCCTTAGTGTGAGCTTTTCCTAATTAAAACTTAATTAATTAAAAATTGAAAGTTCTATTTTAGGAAAATTTTAGCTCTACATGCAATTGTAAGAAATCATGCAGAAAGATCTTGTGTACACTTTACCCAGTTTCCCCCAATGATAACATCTTGCAAAACTACAGTATACTCTCACAACCGGGATATAGACATTGATACAGTCCACAGGTTTTATTGAGATGTTCTCAGTTTTATTTGTATTTGTACGTGTGTTTATGTTTGTGTGTGTGTATGTGTATTCAGTTTTATATAATTCCGCGATGTGGCTAGGTTTCCATATGCTCCATCACAGTCAAGATTCAGAACATTTCCATCACCACAAGGATTTCACCTATTGCCCTTTACAACCACACCCACCTTTCTCTTCTCAGCCTTTTACCCCTACCTTGTCCTGTCCCTGCCCTTGGCAACCACTAATCTGCCATTTCAAGAGTTTTATATAAATAGACTCACATAGTATGTAACCTTTGGGGATTGCCTTTTTTCATTCTGTATAATTCCCTGGAGATTCATCTAAGTTGCTGTGTATATCAGTAGTAGTTTTCTTTTTTATTGCTGAGTACCATTCCATGGTATGGGTGTACCAAGGTTTGTTTATCTGTTCACTCGTTGGAGGACATCTGGGTTGTTTCTGGTTTTTGGCTATTAGGAGTAAAGCTGCTGTGAACACCCGTGTACAGGTTTCTGTGTGAACATCAGTTTTCATTTCTCTGGGCTAATGCCCAAGAGCACAGTTTCTGGGTCCTATGGTAATGGGACATTGAGTTTTGTAAAATACTGCCAGGTTGTTTTCCACTGTAGCTGTACCATTTTATGTTCCCACCAGCAATGCGTGAGTGATCTAGTTTCTCTGCATGCATATTTCTGCTCTTCCTTCCTCATGCTCCAAGATTCCTTCCTTCATCATATCCTTTTGGTGTGAAGATATTCCTTTAGCCAGTTTTTGAGGGTAAGTCAGCCTGTGACAATGTTTTTTAGTTTTCCTTTGTCTGAGGATGTCTTTATTTCCCCTTCATTACTGAAGGATAGTTTCTCCTGATATAAAATTTACTGTTGAGGTTTCTTGTCTTCCAGCACTTGAAAATGTTTTACTTATTGAAATGTCGTTCAAACAGAATCCAGCACAGAAATGAGTTCTGAGACAGTGAATTGTCCAACTTCAATGGAAAATGGCAATGATCAAGATACTGGTTCAGAATCTTTCTTCCTCACTTCTGGTTTTGGTGAGTTTGAAGTGATACATATTATAAGTAGCACTCTTTAATCTAGATTTACCAACATTCTTCATATTAATTCTTAGTGATAGCTTTTTCAAAATTAAAGGTTTCATTTTGGGATATTTTAGAACCACATATAGGTGCAAGAAATAATACAGAGAGATCTTGTGTATGTTTTACCCAATTTCTCCCAATAGTAATATTTTGCAAAAATATGGTAAAATATCACAACTAGGATTTTGACATTGATGCAATCCACAGATCTATTCTTATGTCCCCAGCTTGACTTGTATTCATTTGTTTGTTTGTGTGTGTATTTAGTTCTCTGCACTTTTGTGACATGTTTAGGTACAAGTATTCTCCACTACTGTCATGACACAGAACTGCTCTATCCCTTCCAGGAATGCTCTCGTTGCCTTTTTATAACCACACCCACGTCCTTCATGCCCTTTCTTCCCTGGCTTCATCCCTAACCCATCCAAGTACTAATGTGTTTTCCCTCTTTATAATTTTGTCATTGCAAGAATGTTATATTAACGGACTCATATAGTGTTTAACCTTTTGGGATTGCCTTTTTCACTTAGCATAATTCCCTGGAGATTCATCCAAGTTGCTGCATGTATCAGTAGTTCCTTCCTTTTTATTGCTGAGTACTATTCCATGGTGTGGCTGTACCACAATTTGTTTATCTGTTCACCCATTGAAGGACATCTGAGTTGTTTCCTGTTTTTGGCTATTAGGAATAAAGCTGCTATGAACACTTGCATACAAGTTTTTGTGTGAATGTCATTTCTCTATGGTAAATGCCCAGGAGTGCAGTTGCTGGGTGGTATGGTAAGTGCATGTTTAGTTTTATAAAAAACTGGCAAACTATTTCCAGAATTACTGTACCATTTTACATTCCCACCAGCAGTGTGTAAGTGATTCAGTTTCTCTGCATCCTCACCAGCATTTGGTGTTTTCACTTTTTTTTTATTTTAGCCATTTTAAGAGGTGTATAGTAATACTTCATTGTGGGCTTAATATGCATTTGCCTTTGGATAGTGATGTACAACATCTTTCCATGAGCTAATTTGCAATCAGTATGTTCTTTTCTCTGAAATCTCTGTTCTGTCTTCTTATAGTAATATTTATGCTTTTACTGCTGACTTTTGAGAGTTGCTTAGATATTTGTAGATACGAATCTTTTGTTGGATATGTGGTTGCAAATATTTTCTTCCTGTCTGCAGCTTACCTTTTCCTCCTCTCTACAGGTTTTTTCGCAGAATGAAAGTTTTTAATTTTCGTGAGGTTCAATGTATCAACTTTTCCTTTTAGGGATTCTACTTCTGGTGTCAAGTCTGTGAACTCTTTTTTCTCTTTTGTTTTTTCTAAAAGTTTTATATTCTATATCTCACATATACATTTTTGATCCATTTGAGTTAATTTTATATAAGATGTGAGATTTAGGTTGAGGTTCTTTTTTTTTTTCCGCCTATGGATATCCTGTTGCTGCAGCACCATTTTTTGAATGGCTATCTTTCCTTCACTGACTTACTTTTGTACCTTAATCAAAAACCAATTAGGCATATTTGTGTAGGTCTGTTTTTGGTTTCTCTCTTGTGTTCCACTGATCTATGTTTCTATCCCCCTGGCAAACCACAATGTCATGATTATGCCTTAACTTCAGGTAGAATGATTCCTCCTACTTTGTTCTTTTTTTTTCAAAATCGTTGCAGCTATTCTAAGTTCTGTGCCTTTCCATGCTAATTAAATTAAATTAATTAATTTATTTATTTTTAAGATTTTATTTTTCCTTTTTCTCCCAAAGCCCCCCAGGTACATAGTTGTGTATTTTTTTTAGTTGTGGGTCCTTCAAGCTGTGTGGCATGTGGGATGCCGCCTCAGCACGGCCTGATGAGCGGTACCATGTCTGCACCCAGCATTCAAACCGCTGAAACCCTGGGCCACCGCAGCAGAGTGCGCAAACTTAACCACTCTGCCATGGGGCCGGCTCCAACCATGCTAATTTTAGAATAACTTTGTTTATGTTTCCAAAAAACTTGCTGGGATTTTGATAGGAATTGCATTAAATCTACAGATCAACTTGAGAAGAACTGATATCTTTAGTATGCTGTCTTCTCATCCATGAGCATTGTATGTCTGTATTTATTAATACATATTATTCTTACATATTATTAATACAATATTATTGATTTCTTTTGTCATCATTTTCTAATTTTCAGGATACAGATTCTGTACATTTTTTAAAAATAAGGTTTTACCTAAGTGTTTCATTTTCTTTGGCGATGCTGTAAATGTTATTATGTTTTAAATTTTGGTTTACACATTTTCACTGTTAGTCTATAGAAATAAGCTTGATTTGTGAATGTTGATCTTGCATCTTGTGACATTGATGAGCTCACTTATTAGTTTTAGGAGTCTTTTTTTGGCAATTCCTTGGGATTTTCTATATAGCCATCTTTCTGTATTACGACGTCTACAAATAGGGACTGTTTTATCTTTTCCTGTCCAATCTATATGCCTTTTATTCCTTTTTCTTGCATTATTGCAGTAGACTAGAACTTCCAGTGTTATGTTGAATAAAAGTGGTGAGAATGGACATCTTTGCCTTGTTTCTGATCTTAGGGAAAAAGCATTCAGTCTTTCACCATTTAGTATGATGTTAACTGTAGGTTTTTGATAGATGATCTTTATTAATTTGAGGCAATTTCCCTCTATTCCTAACTTGCTGAGAGTTTTTATCAATAATGGGTATTGGGTTTTGGCAGACAATTTTTCTATGTCAATGATCACATGGTTTCTCTTTAGCCTGTTGATATGGATTGATTTTTCATTGTTGAACTAGCCTTGCGTACCTGGGATAAATCCCACTTGGTTCTGTTGCATAATTCTTTGAATACATTATTGATTTGGTTTGCAAATATTTGATTAAGAATTTTTGTGTCCAAGTTCATGAAAGATATTGGTCTTTATCTTTCTTTTTTGGTACTATCTTTGTCTGGTTTTAGTATCAGGGCATAGTAGCTTCATAAAATGAGTAAGGGTTTTTCCTCCTCTTCTGTGGAAGAGTATGTGAAAAATTACTGTTAATTCTTTAAATATTTGGTTAAAATCTCCAGTAAAATCATCTAGACCTGTAGATTCCTTTTTGGGAGCTTTTTAATTGCAAATTCAATTTCTTTGATGGTTATAGGACTATTTAGATTATCTATATCATTTAGGATGAGTTATGGTATTTGTAATTTTGAAGGAATTGGCCCATTTCTTCTAAGTTATCAAATTTATGAGTGTAAAGTGGTTTGTAGTATTCCTTATTATCCTTTTAATTGCTTCTGGATCTGTAGTGATATCCTGTTTCATTCCTGATATTGATGATTTGCATCATCTCTTTTTATTTTCGTAAGTGTTTCTAGAGGTTTATTAGCTTTATTAATCTTTTTGAGGCACCAGCTTTTTGTTTCATTGATTTCCTATTGTTTTTATATTTTCAGTTTCATTGATTTCTGCTCTGTATTATTCCTTGTTTTTCTTTTTTTCTTATTTTGGGTTTATTTTACTTTTCTAGTCTTATTTTTTGGTGTAGATTTATAGATTTGAGACCCCCTCCTCTTTCATTTTCTTTCTTTTTTTTAAGATTAGCACCTGAGCTTAACATCTGTTGCCAATCTTTTTTTTCCTTTTCCCCAAAGTCCCCCAGTACATAGTTGTATATTCTTCCTGTAGGTCCTTCTGGCTCTGCTATATGGGACGCTGCCTCATCATGGCTTGATGAGCCATGCTAGGTCTGCGCCCAGGATCCAAACTGGCAAAACCGTGGGCCACCAAAGCAGAGTGTGCGAACATAACCATTTGGCTGTGGGGCCGGCTCCCTGTCCTCTTTTCTAATGTAAGCATTTAGTGCTATAAATTTCACTTTAATACTGCTTTAGTTGCATCCCATATATTTTGGTAAGTTGTATTTTCATTAAGTCCTACGTACTTTATTATTTTCTTGGAAACTTTCTCTTTGATGCATGTATTATTTAGAAGTGTGCTGTTTAATTTCCAAATGTTTAAAGATTTTCTTCTTGTCTTTCTATTATTCATTTCCAGTTTGATTCCATTATGATCAGAAAATATACTCTATATGCTTTCATTTCTTTTAAATTTGTTGAGATTTTTCTATAGCCCAGGATGTGGTCTGTCTTGGTGAATGATTCACAGGCATTTGAAAAAAGTATGTATTCTGCTTTTATTGGGTGGAATGTTCTATAATGAGAATCCTGTTGGTTGACTGTGTTGTTCAGGTCTTCTATATACTTGCTAATTTTTGGTCTGGTTGTTCTATCAGTTGCTGAGAGGGGAGTGTTGACATCTTCAACTGTAATTCTGGATTTGATTATTTCTGCTTTGAGGTCTTTCGGTTTTTGCTTCATGTATTTTGAGACTCATGGTTTGGTGTGTTGAAGGTAATTATGTCTTCCTGGGGCTTGATCATTTCATCCTTATTTGTCTTCAGTAACTTTCTTTGCTCTGAAGTCTACTTTGTCTGATATAAATATAGCTAGTCTGCTCTTTTTTTGGATTACTATTTTCATGGTATATATTTTCCCATCTTTTTAGTTTCAGTCTACCTATATCATTGAATTTGTAGAACTTCTTGTAAACAGCATATAGTTGGGTCTTGATTTTTATCTACTTTATCAATTGCTGCCATTTAATTGATATGGTTATTTACATTTAAAGTAATTTTTAATTGTCTGTCATTTTATTATTTTTCACTTTGTTTCCTCTGTTTTTCATTCCTCTGTTTCTCTTTCTTGCCTTACTGTGGATTACCTGAATATTTTCTAGTATTCCTTTTTTTTTCTTTTTGCTTGAGGAAGATTGTCCCTGAGCTAACATCTGTGCCAGTCTTCCTCTATTTTGTATGTGGGTCACTGACACAGCATGGCTGACAAGTGGTGTAGGTCTGCGCCTGGGATCTGAACCTGCAAACCTGGGCCACCGAAACAAAGTGTGCCAAACTTAACTACTAAGCCACAGGGCTGGCCCCCTATAGTATTCCATCTTGATTTATGTCTTCGAGTGTATTGCTTTGTACAGTTTTCCTAGTGGTTGCTCTGAGTGTTACTATATGCATGTGGCTTACCATAGTCTACTGGTATCAGCATTTTACCACTGAGAATGAAGTGTGGAAACTTTAATTCCACTTAGGTTCCTTTGTCCTACTCACTTTTTTTTGTTTTGTTAAGGAAGATTCGCCTTGAGCTAACATTTGTTACTAATCTTCCTCTTTTTGCTTGAGGAAGATTGTTCCTGAGCTAACATCTGTGCCAATCTTCCTCTATTTTGTATGTGGGTCACTGCCACAGCATGGGTGATGAGTGGTATAGGTCCGTGCCTGGGATCTGAACCTGTGAACCCGGGCCACCTAAGTGGAATGTACCAAACTTAACCTCTAGGCCACAGGGCAGATCCCAGCCCTCCTCACTTTTAACTGTCATTGTCTTTGGTGTCAGATGGTGTTTCCATTTTTGTTTCAGTCATCACATATGATTTACACAACTCAGAATAGTATTGTATTCACCCATATTTCTGCTCTTTCTGTTCTTTATTCCTTTTTATTGTTGAGTAGAATTCTATGGCATCAGATTTACCACAGTTTAACCATTTACCTGTTGAAGGACATCTGGGTTGTTTACTACAGTTTTTGGCTATTACAAATAAAGCTGCTAGGAACACTCATGTGCAGGTTTTTGTGTCATTACAAGCTTTTATTTCTCTGGGATAAATGCCCAAGAGTGAAATTGCTGTGTCATGTGGTTATTATAGCATGTTTAGTTTTGTAAGAAACTGCAAGACTGTTTTCCAGTGTGGCTGGTCCATTTTACCTCTCCCCCGGCAATGTATGGATGATTGAGTTTCTCTGCATGCGTACCTCTGCTCTTTCTGTTGTTCCTCCTTCCTTCCTGATGCTTTAAGATTCCTTCTGTCATCATAACCTTTCTGTTTGAAGACCTTCCTTTAGCCATTCTTTAAGAGTAAGTCTGCTAGTGACAAATACTTTTAGTTTTCTTTTGTCTGAGAATGTGTTTATTTCCCCTTTAGACTTGAAGGATAGTTTGCTGAATATAGAATTTTGGTTGAGAATTCTTTTCTTTCAGCACTTTTACCTGTAGATGTATTGGTAAAAATAGACAACAGGATGGAAAACAACTTTGAAACAGTGAATCACTCAACCGTATTGGATAGTGACAGTAGCCAAGATTCTTCCTCATCTTCTTCCTGCCTCCCTTGCAACTTCGGTGAGTGTGAAATGACACATATTACAAGTGGCACTATTTAACCTATATTCCTCAACATTCTTTATACAAGCTAATGGAAGATGTTTATTTCCTATTTTGAGGCTGGTTTTAGGTGTTATTAATAAAGATGGCTAACGTTTATGGAGTGTCTGCTATGTGCCAGGCACTGTGCTAATCAACCGACATGCCTCTTCTCCACTAACACTCATAATGACCTCACGGTGTAGGTACTTTTATTAGCCCCATTCCCAAATTCACAGAGCTGGTGAGTGCCAGTTCTGGAACTCTAACCCAGTTCTCTGACTTTAAAGCTCATGTTTCTTAACAGTCTCTTGTATTGCCTGCCACACCACAGTGGCAGACATGAGGAGACCCCAGGTTCCGTGGCCTCTAAGGGAAAGCCTTCCTAATATTTTATAGCTCCTCTGTGTCTCTACTTCTAAGTAGCTAATATCTTATTAATATCCTAGTGCAGGGCTCAGCAAACTTTTTCTGTTAAGGGCTAGACAGTAACTATTTTAGGCTTTGTGGGCCATCTGGTTTCTGTCACAACTGTTCAACTCTGCTGTTTTAGCATGAAAGCAGCCACAGATGTAGGCAAATGAATGGGCGTGACTGTATTCCAATACAACTTTAGTTACAAAAACCAGTGATGGCATTGGCCTGTGGGCTATTGTTTGCTGACTTTTGTCCTAGAGGAGACCCTTTTGCTTTAAATTATTTTGTTACCCAAATGAGGAGAAACTTTAAAAATTGTGCTCTTTCTTCCAAATGGGCACTATGATATGCTGTTGTTAGAAGTATAAATTAGTAGGGGCTTGCCTGGTGGCATAGTGGTTAAATTCGCACACTCCACTTCAGCAGCCTGGGGTTCGCAAGTTCGGATCCTGGGTGCGGACCTAGCACCACTCATCAAGCCACGCTGTGGTGGTATCCCACATAAAATAGAGGAAGATTGGCACAGATGTTAGCTCAGGGCCATTTCTCCTCTCTCTCACACACACACACACACACACACACACAAAGTATAAATTGGTGAAAACTTTCTGAAGGGTAATTTGTATAAAAATTCATAAAAATATGCCAGTAGACTCAGTAATCCCACTTCTATCAGAAGGCATAATTTAAAAAAAGATTTGTATTAAAATTTTGGTACAAAAATGTTCTTTACAGAATCATGAAAAATTGGAAACAGCCAAATAAGCAACCATAGGGAATTAGTTAAGTGACTCCTGCTGTGTCGACAGTACATGAGGCCGTAAAGCACGATGGTTAAGAGCATGGGCTCCTGAGTCAGACTGCCTGGGTTCAAATCCCGGCTCTTTGTCTTACTAACCGTGTGAACTTAAGCCACTCCTATCACCCAAATATTAGTTTCTTCATCTGTGAAGTGACAAAAATTATAGTACCTACCTCATAGAATTGTGAGGCTCAAATGGGAGAATTCGTTTAAAGCTCTTAACACAATGCCCAGAACATAAGTGCAATGCAAATGTCACCAGTCAGGAAAATCATGATGACAGGGAGGCAGACATGAAAGAAAACAAAAGAAAATAGAGAAATGCTCAAAATATAGTGTTAACTGAAAAAGCAAGATTCAAACTCTATGTAAAGTATGATTTCAATTTCGTGTTTTAAAAAAAGAAATAGAAAAAAGAATGGACGACGTTAGCAGAAGGTTGATGGTTCAGAGCACTTGGCTTGGAAACAGACAGACTTAGATTTTAAAACTGGCTCTGTAACTAGCAATGTGATCTTGTTCAAATAACTTATCTTTTCTGGGCCTCAGTTTCTCATCTGCTAAGTGGGAATAAGTTGTTAGGATGACTTATAGATGTAACGTATTTAGTAGCACAGTGCCTGATATATGGTAGATACTCAATAAATTTTCAAGTTTTCTCAATTATACCCACCCATACTTTTCAAACTGTCTTCACGGAACATATACTCGCTAAGAAATATAGCTCTGAGTGTACTTTTAGAGGGTAAAAGGGAGCAGTGGGATCGCAGAGCAACATGTTTACATATGCACCTGCAGCCTAAGAATTAAATTTATTCAAGACAATGAACAGATTGTTTCAAGTATAGCAAATTCAAGACTAGCAAAGGTGAAAAATGCTAACAGTTATGCGGAAAGAGATTCATTTAAGGAAAAGAAGAGAGAAATGTAGAAAAAAATTCACCCAAGTAGAAATTTGTGAATTAGAAATCAATCAGTTTAATTTTCTTAGGCACTTTCATGGTAGCCTTGCATGAAAAAATGAGGATTTTACTTTTTCTCTGTATTTTTAAAGGCTATCTTGGTGATCCAAGGAGAAATGTCAGAATACTTGGTAGTCATTTGGTGGCTGCACAAAAGAAGACCACACCTGAGCACGCAGCCTGCTACTTGGTTCGTGTTTTGTTCTCCAAGGAAGTTCTGATTTGCAGCTCCGTAGGTATCACTTCCCAAGGCTGCCAACCCCTAGATCCAAACAAAATAGCTGCATTAAGAGGTATGTAAAGTCATTATGGAATCTTGTTTTATCATCATTTAGTCATCTGATGAATGTTAATAGCAGTTGAAGAAATAATGATGAAGTCTGTGTAAATCTTAGAACTGTTCATTTTTTTACCTGTCTGACCTAGATTTTATAATTGAATAGTATGTAATGAATAACAACTTCTAAAGAATAAAGCTTGTCTATAGACTGGTGGAATAAGACAAACTTTATTGATTATAGTTGCTTATGGTTAGTACTAAGGCAATTCTTCAGTGCTGAAACTTGGTACTAAAAAATAAAGAAAAAGCCAAAAAAAAGGTGGAAGAATAAAACATATTTCAGTGCTAGTAACTGGCAACACAGAAGTAGAATCTCATGATTAATCCACTTTAGCCTCCTGCCTTCCTGCCTTCCAGGAATGTGTATGGAGTTCTTAGAATTCAGAGGCGCTGAGGATACAACAATGAATAAGTACTTCTGCCCACGAGGAGTTCATAGTCTAGAAAGGGACCCGTTGGAGGAAACAGATCCATTCCAGTCCAGTGTGGTAGTGTGGGGGCTCAGAGAGCAGAGCAACTACTTGTTAGGGAAGGCTTACTAAAGACAAGACTTCTGAGCTAGATTTGGAAGGGTTCCTTAGCTAGGTAAAGAAAATAGGAAGGGTGTTCCAGGCAGAGGGAATAGCTTATGGGGAAGACAGACATGTAATATGCACAGATAAATAGACCCTGGTGTAAAAATGTTTGCAAGAACACCATTTTCTCTTTACAGATTTCCTTTTATTCTTAGTTGTAACTTATCCATGGGGTTATTAAATGGCATTAGCACCCTGAAATAGTTGACTTTTGGTTACTTGCCTTTTTTAAGCACCAAAACTTCACTTTTGGCTCCCTAGGTCAGTGTTTTATGCAGTTGCACATTGAGATATTCAGCAAAGCATCCTCTTTGGGTGGAATTTCTCAACTCTCAGAAAGAGAGAAAGGAATGACAATTAAAAAGGGAAAATTTCAGTATTTTAAATAAAAAATTTCTCATCAGTTTATTATTTTTTTTAATTTCATGAATGCTTTCTGCTATTTGCAGAATATCTGGCAACAATTTTTCCCAACCATGACTTGCGTGAATGTGGAGAAGACTGGAAAAACTGTGTTGCCGATATCCATTCTCTGATCCGCTATTTATGTTTCGAAGCCAGAAAAATGACAGTAAGTTCTTTTCCATCTAACTATGGCTGCTGCTGTATAAGTGTGTCCTGTGAACAACTCCAGAACTGATAGCATGACATGCAGGTTCCTCAGGCCACGTGCTTGCCATCTAGTTTATTTAATTTAGGGGCAGGGTACGTCTCTCAAATCATATTGCCTGTTTATTTCACTCTTTGATATTTATGTTCCATCAAAATTGCCCTAAGATAAATCAACCAGAGTGTTATAATTAGTATATTTGAAGCCAATGGCTAGACTAGAAAAAGGTTTCAGCTGCAAAGATATTTGGCAAGTCTTTTTTAGTATCCCACTGAGTAACACAGAAAAGAGCAGCCTGGCGCTGCTTAGCTGTTCTAGTGGCAGTTAAGGATGGCACAAGAGAAAAGGAAGGCACTTTATTACTTGCTCACTTTCAGTGATGGCAGAACCTGGTGAAAATAATGCATAGACATGAGGTTAAGCTCTCAGAGATCTTTTATGCTCTGTATCGTTACATGGTAAACAGGACTCTGGCTTCCCTCTCATCCATTCTGTGTTCAGGGTGCAGTAGAGATTTTTTAACGGGAATGGGCCAGTAGGGAAGACTGTCATGACTGTTGCCTTCTCCTGGCGAAGCATTTAACTTAATGACAATTCCTAATTTCCTTCCACCTCTCTAAAAACCTCCTTTTATTCTCACCATGTCTAGTCACTCCTGGGTCTCCGGAGTAAGTTTATGGAAACCATTTGCCAAGAATATCTGTAGCCGAGCTTATGTTTTCTTGGTGAGCGGCTTGATTTCAGTGGTAGCTCAAGCACCATCTGTCTGAGACCGAATCTGCTTATTTTTCACATTCCCTTTTATATCCTACAAAAATTGCACCCCAAACATTTGAATGTAAAATTATGATACTGCCTGGAAAATGGCCATTTGCATATTTGCTTCAGCGTCAGAAGAGAAGCAGCATCTGCCGAGTGCCTGCTGTGTAGCTGACTAGGAGAGGGCAGGTCCTCGCCGCTCAACGTGGGTCCACGGACCCGCAGCCCCAGCAGTGCTGGAAAGCTGGTGAGAAACACAGTCTTGAGTTCCACACCAGTCTCACTGAGACAGAATTTGCATTTTAGCAAGACTGCCAGGTGACGTGTGTGCACATTGAAGTTTGAGAAGCCTGGACATCAACCCTCATTATATATTAGAATCACGTGAGACACTCTTTAAAAAAGTTATTAACACCTGAGCTCTCCCACTCCCTCCCACGGGGCTTAAGCACAGCTTTAAAAATAAATCTCTAGGGTGATTCAAGTGTTCGAATGTACAGCCAGATTTGAAAGTCACTGGGGAAAGAGAAAACAAACAAACACGTTAAAAAACAAACAAAAAGTTGTCATCTTCAAGAAACTCATTTATTCATGAAATGCTTATTAAGCACTTATTTTGTGCCAGCAGTTATCATTCGGTTCATTAGAGAGAGCTACCAAGGCCCCCAAGAAGCAGCACATCGTGGCAGCTTGAGGAAGATCCACACCTGTGCTGCTTTTATCACGGCACACAATGTTCGCAGCCTGTACCCACCTTGCTAGAGACAGTTGCTTCCCCACCAACCTGGGGGCCCTGGTAGATGATGGAGCGTGTCCGTATTTCGCACTATGGGACTTTGTTTACAGATACAATTTTGTGTTTCAGCAGACTGTCAATACACCACCGTCTGCAGATGCTGATAATAGAAGGGATGGCGAGGACGGTGAAGGCGCTTCCCAGTTAGCTCAGCAAACCGCTGCCGTAGAAACAGGAGAAGATGGAGATCCTCAGCAGCACAACAATGCTCTCCCTGAAGAAATGAGAGAAGCTGCCACTGGTAATTCTGTGGCATCTGGTGAAACACTGGGTGAGTTTTAAAATAAGTTCTTTTTGAGGAAGATTAGCCCTGCACTAACTACTGCCAGTCCTCCTCTTTTTGCTGAGGAAGACTGGCCCTGAGCTAACATCTGTGCCCATCTTCCTCTGCTTTATACGTGGGACACCTACTACAGCATGGTGTCCCAAGCGGTGCTGTGTCTGCACCCGGGATCCGAACCGGCAAACCCTGGCCACCAAGAAGTGGAACGTGCGAACTTAACTGCTGCGCCACCGGGGCCAGCCCCTAAAATAAGTTCTTTTGATGATAAATGTTGAATCTGGGTGATGAATTTATGGGGCTCGTTGTCCTATTTTCTCTACTATTATGTACGTTTGAGATTTTTCATAATAAGTCTAGACAACTTGATCTCTTATATTAATGAGTTAATGAAATATAGATACTAGTTCTGAGACTGACAGTTTTTAACATCAAGCTAAATCTGTCATTTTTCCTTCAGAGAGCAGTTCTCAGCTGACTCCTTTGGCCAGTGTGACCTCTCAGGTTAGGCAGGTAAAGAAGGAGCTACAGGGGCCCGCCCGGTGGCGCAGCGGTTAAGTTCGCACATTCCCTTCAGCGGCACAGGGTTTGCCGGTTTGGATCCCGGGTGCAGACGTGGCACGGCTTGGCACGCCATGCTGTGGTAGGCATCCCACATATAAAGTAGAGGAAGATGGGCACGGATGTCAGCTCAGGGCCAGTCTTCCTCAGCAAAAAGAGGAGGATTGGCAGCAGATGTTAGCTCAGGGCTACTCTTCCTCAAAAAAAAAAAATTTAAAAATTAAAACAAGAAGGAGCTACAGCTGGATGAGCCAGAAGCATTCAGGGGTCTTGCTCTCTATGTGCTGGGCACATTGCACGTGCCTCGTAAAGAGTTTCTACTTGAATTAGTGACTCCTATTCCTCAGAATGCTAGCTGTCTGCCCAAGGCACGTCCTGCTTCATCAGTGTCAAGTGGCAGTGGGTTCCATAGGTGACTGTGCCACCTGCCACTCATGCTTCCCAGTGCGTCTTCCCCAGGATGCTAGGGTTTAATGGCACCTGAGGTAGAAAAACTATTTTCTGTCTCTCCCCTGCCCCCATGTCAACCCTAAGTAGAATACTACCTGTGAATCTGTTCAAGAGGAAGTATTTAAATGATGTATCTTTATAGTGGATTTTCTCCATTACAAAAGTGATATAACTGCTATATTTGTTCAGGTTGTACACCATAGAACCAGACTCTGGCTAAATTAAACCACTAGAACAAAAATCACTGGATGAATAGCTCCTAGATTTAAAGAAGCAAACAACTAACCGAGCCGCAGGCAGGGGCCAGAGAGGCCCCAAGACTGTGGTGTCTGGGGTCCATCGAGGGCTCTGGGGCTCCATGTCTGCAGCTTCCATGAGATCTAGGTTCTAGGTTTCGCTTGTCCCTGTTCAGATCCCCAGGAGAAAGTATCCAATTTGGGGAGCTTGGGTCACGTGTCTCTGCCCCTGACTCAGCTCGAACCAGGGGACAGGGCAACTAAGCCAATTGTGAGTCAGGAAGCCACCCCAATTTGTGTGTAGTCTATTAGACTATTTTATTTAAAACACTGGAAAATGTTTAGGAGAGAAGTAAAGCTCTCACAGTCAAGATACCTTAAAAAAGTGTTGTGGGGGCCGGCCTAGTGGTGTAGTGGTTAAGTTCGCATGCTCTGCTTTGGCAGCCCGAGGTTTGGTGGCCCGGGGACCTATGCACCGCTCATCAAGCCATGCTGAGGCAGCGTCCCTCATAGAAGAACTAGAAGAACTTACAACTAGGATATACCACTGTGTACTTGGGCTTTGGGGAGGAAACAAAAAAAAAGGAGAGGAAGATTGGCAACAGATGTTAGGGCCAATCTTCCTCACCAAAAAAACCCCAAACACACACAGAGAAATGACTCACACTAAAAAAAAACTGTTGTGGACATTTAAATTTTTTTCTTACAAATCTTTTAAAACATTATGGCTTCCACATAATTACTCTTCTTTTTAAACTTGATATATGTTTTTCCTCAAGAATCTCCAGTCTTCATAATCATTGCTTTAAACAGGTATATAACACTCCAGTAAGTGTACCCTAATTTATTTAACTATGTCCCTCTTTTTGTTGTTTTTACAAAAGTTTTTTGAGGATTTTTTGGAGGGGATTATCAATTATGCAAATCATGCTGCCAAAAAAATTGTCATTCATATAGCTTTTTATGTATTTTGGATTCTTTTCTTAAGTTACATTCTCAGAATTCAAATTACCAAGTTAAAGAGTATTAACCTTTTTTCTGACCCTTGATAAATATTGCTAGGTTGATCTTCCAGAGTTAAGTCTTTGGACCCACTGAGTGAATTTTTAAATAATTTAATCTCTCTTGCTAAATCTTGGACCTGTGGGATTCAGCAATTTATACCATCACCCAATAAATGATGGATGTTCCAAGATGGAAAATATGCTTATTGACTTGTAAGAATCATATCATTTTTCTCTAATATATTTCCTTCAAATAATTCTTTATTATATGTAAAATATATTTTTCAAGTACAGTTTGGTTAATTTGGATCACTATGGACTGAAGAGAGATGGTGTTGATTAGGCTGTAGAGTTGAGAAATGAAAACAGACTTAACGTTTATTTTTCAGTTCAAATAAGTTATCTAAAATATGATATCTAAGATGAACTTGGTGATTTTTAAATCAGTCTAATACCAAAAAAAATTTACATTTTTAAAATTATAAATATTTCAGTAAGAATCATGGTGCTTATTTTTGAAAAGGCTCATTTAAAAAAAAGAAAATGCCCGTTTTATAAGTAGGAAAACGATGCATTAAAATTACATAGCATTTCTTACTAAATGTACTGTTAAAGCTGATCGTATCCTAAAAGGCAGCAGAACAGAGAATTGTCCTCTCGAACGATCAGAGCCCATGTCATCACATCCGCAGTGATTCCTGCCTTATTTCTCATGCTGTTTCATGATAGCCTAAAAACTTCAGGCTTTAATTTTTTTAACCTCTCAAACTCTTGAGCTTAAAAATTCAGAAAAATCACCCTTTCTATTACAGCCTGTTAAAAACCTAAAAATCTGCCATGAAAATTGACCTCTTCTTTCTCTTTTGCTTCAAGACTATCTTGGAAATCCAAGTAGAAATATACGGATGCCAGTTTCACTTCTGAATGTAGCAAAAGAGAGGCCTCGCCCAGAGCTGGCAGCCAGATTCCTTATTCGCAGCCTGTTCTCAGAGGAGGTCCTGATAAAAAGTAACGTCTACGGCAGTGTGTGGCGGGGCATTGGTGCCCTGAACTCCAACAGGATTAACGCTCTCCGAGGTTTGTTACGTGTCTTGTTACATGTCAAGTGTGTGAGAATAAATAAAAGCAAATTGCGTTAGAGAAGGGCAGAAAGAGAAATCCACTCAGTTTGTGTGTGTTCAGAGGAGAGACAGAGCCCTCACTAATTCCCTCATTAGGGTCTAGCAAGGAGCAGGTTCGGAATCATGGTTCTTTTTGCCCCTGGGTTCTCAGGGCTAATTGCTCTGTCTTGAATGGTATTATTAGAACAGGAAAGGCATTATTGACTGTGGCTCCCTGGTATGGACAGCCAGGCGTATGGAAACTCAAACACTTTCTTCTACTGAGGATCAAGGTGAAAGCTGCTGGGCTTTGTCAGTTTGTAAAAGTGTCAACAATAGCACAGCAGGTTAATTTGGTAGCTTTTTCTCGTGCACATGAGCAGAGTGTGGTCTTTATCTATGACATATATAGATGAAGTAAGAAAGCTTCCGAAAGCAATTCTGTGAAATCTTCAATTTGGACAAAGCAGGAAGCCGAATATTTCTTACTCATGTCCCTGGTACCCAGCGAAGATGGAGTTCTGAGCCCCGGATTGATCTCAGTTGGTTCCTCCTTGGGTCTTCCCTTCACATCACATGTTTCGTATCTAACAAATTTGAACAACACTTGTGTTTCAGACTAAAGAAACCTGGCTTACAGCACCTTTCATAAGCATTTGATATCATCTAATCCAATTGTTTTCAAACTTTTTAAAATTTTACTGCAACTCTTAGTAAGAAATACATTTTACATTGTGACTCAGTATATGTGTGTGTGTGATTTTGAAAAAACTGAAGCACAAGTTTCAAAAACAATACTTTTTTATGAGAATTACATTCCAGTGTTTTCTATCCTGTTACATTCTTTTTTTAAAGTGCTGCTGTCACTGATTTCACGACCTAGTAATTGGTCACGATTTGCCGTTTGAACATCACTGAGCTAACCCACCAGGCAAAAAACCAAAACCCAATTCCTCTTATCTTATGGTAAAAAAAGAACACAGAGTCTGTAACCAATTTGGAAATGAAGGTGTTTATAGAAGAAATAGTGTCTTTCTAATTAAAAATTTTTTAAGTGAGGGACAAAAAGGTGACTTTTATAGTTCTTTAATATCTGAAATAGATGAGTTCCTTAAAAGTGGACTAAAGATATTATTCTGTGTATTTCATTTTGTTTTATCCCTTGTTGAATTATATTACAAATCAAGAAGATGTCTTTTATAGTAAAAAACATTCAGCATGAGTTTGGCGTACTATCCACATAGGGCATATTGTAACAAATTTCCCATAAGACTCAAGGTTCTACACCTTTGTTGAAGGGCAGCTATGTGAGTTATTTCAGCAGAGAGAATACAGTAGAATCATCGTTGTCCTGGGGGCAGAGTCAGGCCCAAGGAGGAGAAGCTGACAAGAAAGCATATTTTACTTTAATATAAGGACAAAATGAACTTGGAGAATGAAGAGAGTCAGAGCAAAGGCTGAGTGACCAGAGAGGAGAGGAAGTTCCTGCCCTAGGAGGAGGACTGGGCTTTTTGGTCTCTGAAAAATCGCTCCTGCAAAAGAGGCCATTCTTTCAGTTTATTTTTTTTATGTATATACATGTTGCAACATGTATTCATTTTATTTGTTTTTTTACCTTTTGAATACCTTCACCCATTTCTCCCTCCCCTCACCCCCACGTCTTGCAACCACTAATCTGTTCTCGGTATCTATGAGCTTGATTTTTGTTTTTGTTTTAGATTCCACATATAAGAGAGATCGTACAGTATCCGTCTTTCTCTTTTATTTCACTTAGCATAATGCTCTCAAGCTCCATCCATGTTGTCGCAAATGGCAAGATTTCATTCTTTTTTATGGCTGAATAATATTTCATTGTATACATATATACCACAACTTCTTCATCCATTGATGGACACAAGTTGCTTCCATGTCTTGGCTGTTGTAAATCATGCTGCAATGAACGTGAGGGTGCAGATATCTTTTTGAGTTAATGTTTTTGTTTTCTTCTGATAAATACCCAGAAGAGGAATTGCTGGATCATATGGTAGTTCTGTTTTTAATTTTTCGAGGAACCTCCATACTGTTTTCTATAGTGGCTGCACTAATTCACATTCCCACTGACAGTGGACAAGGATTCCCTTTTCTCCACGTTCTCACCAACACTCTTATTTCTTGTCTTTTTGGTGATAGCCATTCTAACAGCTGTGAGGTGATACCTCGCTGTGGTTTTGATGTGCATTTCCCTGATGATTACTGATGTTGAGTATCTTTTCTTGGGTCTCTTAGCCATATGTATATCTTCTTTGGAAAAATGTCTATTCAGATCTTCTGCCTATTTTTTAATCAGATTGTTTGATTTTTGCTGTTGAGTTGTATGAGTTCTTTCTATATTTTGAATATTAGCCCCTTATCAGATATATGGTTCGCAAATATTTTCTCCCATTCAGTAGGCTACCTTTTCATTTTATGGCTTTATTTGCTGTGCAGAAGCTTAGTATTTATTTATTTACTTTGAGGAAGATTAGCCCTGAGCTAACATCTGCTGCCAATCCTCCTCTTTTTGCTGAGGAAGACTGGCCCTGAGCTAACATCCATCCCCATCTTCCTCTACTTTGTATGTGAGACGCCTGCCACAGCATGGCTTGACAAGTAGTGCGTAGGTCTGCACCTGGGATCCGAACTAGCAAATCCTGGGCCGCCGAAGTGGAGCATGGGAACTTAACTGCTGTGCCACCGGCTGGCCCTACAGAAGCTTTTTAGTTTAATGTAGTCTCACTTGTTTATTTTTGCTTTTGGTGTCGGATTAAAAAAATTGTTGCCAAGACCTATGTCAATGTTAATACAGCCTAAAATGGCACTTGCCATTTTTAAATTTGTCAACTAAGACCCCCTAGATCTTTTTTTCTATATACTGACATTTAACCAGTACTTATATTGTTAGTGTTTAGGCTGTTCCTATTTATACTGTTGGTATTTTTTTATTGTAAGTGTAGGATTTTATATTTATTCCTCCTGCATTTAATCCTGTTTGTAGAGCAGCATTCTCCAAACTATGGTTCTTAAAGACAGCTGAATGTTTTTATTTATTTACTTAGTTATTTATTTATTTTCAGATGTACATCATAATATATTTTGACTTCTGTGTAGATTACATCATGTTCACCACCTGAAAACTAATTATAGTGCATCCCCTCACATGTGAGCCTAATCACCCCTTTTGCCCTCCTCCCTTCCCCTATGGTAACCACCAGTCCAATCTCCAATGCTATGTGTTTGTTTGTCGTTGTTGTTATCTTCTGAGTGAGATCATATGGAATTTGACTTTCTCCCTCTGACTTATTTCACTCAGCGTAATACCCTCAAGGTCCATCCATGTTGTCACTGATCCTTTATGGCTATTTGTGAAGCCCAGGTCTTCTGCCGCTGATAAGCCTCAAACCCCACAGTACCACATACACCGTCAACACAGTCCTGGTCCATGCACACTTCTCAACCCCCTGGAGTGTACCCCGATGCCACACTGCAGAGGCCCCCACCTCTCCACTAATGCCCCCCACAGTTCACCTTGTCCTCACACAGGCCCTGTCCCACAGAGGCAGACACCCTTGCCTGCCTGCTTGTAGAGGATCAAGGCACCCAGTCAATGCAGGCTGAAAAGTAGCCTGAGGCCTTGCTGTTAGGTGGGGCTGGTCCCTAGGGCGGGTTGCCTGCCCTGGCTGAACTGGATTAAATCTGTGCTCTAGTGGGCATGGCAGACCCCTGGGCTAACAGGCCACAGGATGAACCTCAATGGACCCCACCAGGGTCCGTGTCAGCACTCCTGGACAAGCTCAGAACAATGGCCCCCACCAATGTCTCAGTCTCTGGAGAGGTCCCTCCTCCCACCAAGATGCCCCTAGAGCCCACCAGGTGAGTGTCGTTTCACCAAAGGACTGTCAGCCTTCTCTCTGGTGATTTCAGGTTGCTGCAATGAGTGAGTTTGTGCGTGGGCCCTTTAAGACCCGGGTCTTTTCGGCTTTTGGCCAATAGCTTTTCTGGGGGTATCCTCGCTGCAGTTAATAGCCAGCAAAGCCAGACAGTAAGACCCCCGTCTCAGTTGGGCTGAGTCTGAAGGATGCTTATAGCATTATCGCCCCTGCTCCAGACCTCACTCCTCCAGGGAGGGCTGCATACCTTAGGGTGGCTCCCTCCTGACCAGCTGAGAAGCTCCGCTGCTCCCAAAGGTGGCTTTTTTCCTCTCCAGAAGGAATTCCTGTCTCTTCTGCCTTCGTCAGGACTGTCCCTTGTTGTGGGGGTTCTTTTTTATCAAGTTTTCAGTTTTCAATCCGGGGTAATTGTTCCAAAAATTGTTGTAACCTGTTTGTGTTCGTGGGAGGAGACGAGTTCAACGTCTGCTCACACCGCCATCTTGACGAGCTCTCTCAGACAGCTGAATGTTAATAGGTGCTTCATGAATGATGTGCTCTCTAGTGAAATGGCTAGGAAAGATCTTGATCTGGCACCCAAGGGCCTCAGTCCATAGATCTGTTTCACTCAGTTTTAAGACATGTTTTGAATGCCTTTAGCTGTCAGGCCCGCCCAGATCTCCACAATCCTGACCCTCTGTTGTCTAATGCATTGCTACCTTCCTCATTTATGAGTCCTCCCAGCGCATCTGCATCTCACCTTTGAATCAGCACGTCTCTTTACTGTGGGAGTTTTCAGTGGGAACTGACTGGGGTGTCGCAATTCTCATTTGCACAACCGGAAACTTTGCCCCAAGAAACTTCTTTTATGACTAGTGTTTCAGAGAACACATTTTGGGAAACATCAGCCAGTTTAGGGTCCTCGTTGCAGCCTGTTGAAAGTTTCGCAGGTGCCGTGTTTGTCTTGCAGTCTGTTCGTTATCCGCCCCAGCTTTACTGTCGGGGCAGAGGGGACATGCCTGCTCTCCATGACTTTGTTTTTGTTGATGAAAGTGTTCAGCAGGTAGAGCCCGCTACTGAATCCACTGACACACCACCAAAAGCCTCCTTCCAGGCTACTGCTGGTCTCTTAATTAATTAGTCCTTTGAGTATGACAGCTTTTTAACTTTGTCACATGCCTTGCAAAAAAATTTGGACACATATGCTGAGTTTATGGCATTGTCCTGATTCCCCAGCCTATTAATCCTATCAAAAAACAAATGAGATTAAGGTAGCCAGCTAATGCTGGCGATCACCAGATCCTTTTCTGAGAGCTCAAAGGTACTTAGGAAGTTACTTCGAAAAGTATCTGAGGGCAGCTCTGCTCTTCTGGTTAGCACCTCTCTTCCCCACTTTCCCTTTGTCCGTTCTCCCACTTCTCTAAGTGTGCTCCTTGAGCTGTGTTGCTCTGTCACCTTCCCTTACGGAAGTTTTCCTCTAACTGTGAGATAAAGACTCTTCATTCCTTTTGTCTGAGATAAACCAAGCAGTACCAAAAAATTTGGCATTATAGCATCTTGCCTCTAAAAGTATGAAAGACACTGCAGCCTCTTGTGCATTACAAAGCTTTAGCATGTCTCTATTTGGTATAATGAATAACATGCCTGTTTGATCAATTTAAGAATAAGAGAAGTCTATGTTGGGTGCTAATGGCAGCAGAGGATTTCCGTTCTGGTTATGTAGCAAGATCATGGGATATTGTTTTATTGTGATTTAAGAATGGTGCTATTTCATATTATTATCCTTTTAGATGAAAAGATTTCAAGTAATTTAATAATAGTTATAGTCCATGTGTTTTAATTAGTTAGTCTTAATGACCCTTTCATAGACATAGCAATAGAAGTAAAGTTGAATAAATTCATTTCTCTGAGAAGTGATTTCTAAATAACTTATGTTTTGGGACTTTACCACCAGAGTTTCTCCAAGACGTCTACCCGGCTTGTGATCTGTCAGAAACTGGATCTGCGTGGAAGTTGTGTGTGACAGCCATCAACAGCTGTATCCGTAGTCTTAGATATGACTTGAACAAGTCCATGTCCAAATCGCAGCCGCTTCCAGAAACAACCCCTTCAGCAGAGCCCGAGCCAGGCAACCCTGACTTCACTGACTGAAGTACTTGAATGTCAGCCAGCCGACTTGTTTTGTTTCATTTTGTTTTGTTTGTTTTTACTGTTGCATTATCCTGTAAGTTTCTCAAATTATAATTCCAAAGTTAGTCTGTTGTAGTGACAGTGTAGTTCTGCATTCACACCTGAAGAAATAGCCACTGTTCTATTTCTGCCCACATAAGGGGCGGAATTGCATTAGGAAGATGTGTAATGTTTCATCTCACGAGCAAAGTAATGGGCAGTATTCCAATAAGAGCCTCTGATTAAGGGAGTGGTGGGAAACTCCTAAAGGTCGTTTTCATTGCTGTTTTAAAGTAGAATGAGAATAGCACCTTTGACTCTTCATGACAGGTGAAATCTGAGCGTCAGTGATGCCGATAGAGCTGGTGAGGTAGAGAGCCAGAGTTGGATAGGCACACCATAATGGCGACTGTGGGAACCTGCAGGTAGGAGACTCAATATTTCTCAAGTGAATTGTCGCTGCGGAGCTTAGGTCTAAGCTCCATTGAGTCAGAAGGGAGGTGTGGTTTACCTATAACCAAAATGCCCTGCTCGCTTTCCTATACATCCATCAGTAGGGGATTCATAGGATTGACACCGTATTGTTTGACTTGAGCTTTCCAGAGATGAGACCTGTGTTCTTTTGATTTACTCCTAAGAATAGCATTCTTTTAATTACCTCCTGAGAATATTTTATCACAGAAGTTTGCTAAGAGTCAACATGGAAAATCCTATCAGGAGACTTTTTGATTGCATTGAAGAAATTTAAATTTAAGAATAGATCACTATGAATAAAAAGAATCTGACCAGATTCAGACACTAACATTTTTTTGGGTTTCTGAAATGTGTGAGTGAAGGTTTAATATGTTTACTGTGTTTTCTGATTGATCCTACTAGTTTGAATGCATGCAAATTTAAATCTTACAATGTTTAAATGAAGGAAAATTTGATCAGAAATTCAATTAGAAAAAATAGATCTTAAAGGATATTGGTAGGGTTATTGGAGAATTAAAAAAAAATTCCATTTCGCTAATGAATGGGATTTTCTTTTAAGCTTAAGCACTTCATTTTAAAGTTCTTGAATGTTTCAGCCGTAGAAAATACTGTATAACTTCATTGTTTGATCATTTGTGTTTAAGAAACATTTTGTCAGTTATAATGCCATCTTTCAGCTTTCAGCTTATTGAGCAGTCCCCAGTTACATGTGTTTTATAGCATTCTTAGTTATTGTTCAGAAGGCAAATTTTTTCCTTGTGTGAGTTCAATCTTTAGTTATGGCCATTGGCTCATGACCCGTGGCTTTGTCTTAGATAATTGACGTTAATTAACTTTAGCGTTTTGACAAAGCAAAGAATAAATTACATAGAAAGTAATAAGTAGGTCAGTCAAACAATATAATTTGTGTGAAAGTTGACAAGTCTTGCTATTTTTGTGATTTGTGAGACAATTTAAGATGGTTTTATCTGGTCAATTTGTAGAAGAGATGCAAATTTTCACGATTTATCTTTTGAAAATTAAGTTCCACTTTTAAAGAATTTTAGTGAAACGGTATGATTAGCTTTATAAAGATAAGATAGGAGATTTAATTTTTAAGACCCTCTTGACCAAATAAGTAAATTGCTCTTAGTTGTCTTTAGCTTAAAAAATTATAGTATTTCTATGCATATCTTTTTATGTCTAGGCTATGCCTACAATGGTCTTAAAAAGTAGATAACTCAAGCCAAAAAAATCTTCCATACAGGGCAAAAGAGTTTTGACCAGAGTTACTCAGATTAATTCATCTGAGATAATCTTTGGCTTCACTATTCGGTTTCACAAATAATTTTACAAACTACTGGTAATAGAGCTAATATGGAAAAGTAAAATTACAGCTCTTCCTTGTGGTTGCATCCGGATAAACCCATCGATTTTGTCTCTCTCTCTTTCCTCTCTCTTCTTTCTCTCCTCTCTCTATCACTAGCATATCACTAGCCTGGGAGATCAAAAAATCAAAATTTGAAGAACAGTTTGCATTGAATGTGTATTGCTTTCCCACCATCATAAAGTCGAAAAATCCTAAGTCAGGGACTGTCTGTATATCCTGGGCAGGGTTACATTTCAAATTGTGTATGCATATTTCAAATACGATTTGTATTTTGTGGTATCTGAAATATTGCCTGGATTAGAAGCAAAATTACAAAAACAAAACTTCGTATTTACAATTTTTTTTCAAGATTTATGTGGTTAACTTTATTGTCATGGTTGCTTATAAAAGTTATTAGACTAGCTGTGTCCAATAGAATTTTCCATTATGTTGCTAGTATTCTATAATTTTATGTTGTCCAGTATGGTACTCACTAGCCACATGTGGCTCTTGAGCACTTGAGATGTGGCTAATTAGACAATGGAACTAAATTTTATCTCATTTTGGCTAATTAAAATTTAAATTTAAATAGCCACATGTGGATAGTGGCTACTGTATTGGATAGCACAGTGTAGAATGCTCTTTATTTTTTGAAAAAGTGTTTAAAATGGTCCCCATGGTTTTAATCATAATAATATACACGTAACTTTTTAAAAAGCACATGACTGAGCAAAATAAATTTCATAAAGTTGTTTTGTATTTTGTTTTAAACTGAATTAGACCTTTTCTGCCTTCAAATTTTTACAGATTCATTCTGTTGTTGTATCAGTCCAATGTTAAACATTTTAAATGCCTGCTCATAAGACTTGTTTTTGATAAATTTATCTTTCATATGTTGTTTTATTTTCCAAGCAAATGCAATAAATAAACATTTAAAAAAATCTTAATGCAGATGCCTAGGTTGTTTTTTTTTAAATGGAGTAATTTTACAGAGTTTTTACTAATGTCATCTACAGTTTTTTTTTAAATTAATGATAACATTTTTCAGCCAATTCCATAAATGTGGCACAGTTAGAAAGTTTGCTCTCTTGCTTGATGAGCAAAACAGAATAGTTTAACCCAGTAACAATAATTTACTATCGTGGGTGTAATTGTAAGGATATTGACAACTTTGGAAGTGTTTTGTCCTTCCTGGGTAAAATATAAGTGTTACTAAAGCATAATATTGTTTTATATTTTAATATTTATTTAAATATATGGTAACATTTTTATTTTGGCTGGCACGGCTTAGATTTTGAGCTCTGATTTTCACTTTTTTTTATATCCCATACATATCCACACCTAGTAGAGTAGTATCACTGTGGTGTTCTGTGACAGTGGCAATATAACCACATTCGCTCTTGTGTGGGAGTGAACACTTGTCCCCTCTGCCTTCACCCTAACTTATTTTAACTCCCAATATGTTAAATTTGCAATGACCTTTTTCATCATGATAAAAAAATCTGCTCATCCACTGTGAGAAGGAATAATTGGTAATCTCAAATAATTGGTAAAGTTAATTTGGAAGATTGATGGGCGATAGGTACAAAGCCCATAACCAACACATGTGAACAAGAAACACTACCTTATTTTTCTATAACCACTTAATTTCTATTTTGATTACACACCTTCCAGGTACTCTCACCAGCCCCTCCAGTCAGATGGGGCCTTGTTTCAGCTCAGTTGTTTGGATGGGATGGGGAAAGGCCACTCGAGGCAACTCTCAGTTTTTTTCAAGCAGGCTCTTTGGTCTGGGGGGACCGGGAGCTACCCTCAGCCTTGGCTATGAATTAATCTCCCTGCCTGGAAAAGCCCAGGAACCCTCCACTCCCAGTACTGGCTTTGTTCTGGGGGCAATCAGCTCTACCCACCCACCTGTGCGGCCCAGCATCTGGTGTTCCCACCAGCCTCCCTGGTCAGGTGGGGTCAGGAGACACTCTCCCAAGCTCCTCGCCTGGGCGTGGGCAAACTGGGCTCTAGGGCAAAACTCTTTGCTTGAGGACCCAATTCAGGCAGATCTGCACCCCAGTGAGTTCTCTGGTCAGAGTGTGCCACCGCCTTGGTTCTGCAGATGAGCAAGGCCGCTGGTTGGGACTACTACTTGGGCTCTGCAGGTATGAACTCAGTCTGCCAAGATCTAAGTGCTGGTTGTTGTAAGCCCCTCCCCACTTCTTCTTCACAGTCAGATTCCCCTGGATCCCTGTGGGAGAGACCAGAATAGGGACTCTCGTGAAGCGACCCACAATGCTGGGGGTGCTGGTTCTCCCCTGGGCTATTTTCTCCCCATAGGAGGATCTGGATGCTCAAGGGAGACGGCTCAGCATGGTGCTGCACTGGCCTCGGGGAAGGGCAGTGGGTCAGCATGCAGCCGTTCCTCCTACCCTTCTGTGCAGTCTGTCTTGGTCTTGTGGTGCAAGGCTGCTTCAGCCTCACCCCCGTGTTCTAGGATTCTCTCAGTGGTGTCTCGTTCATGAATAGTTGTTAGCTGTTCTTCTTGTGAGGGGGAGCGAAGTCACGAAGATCTATGTCACCATCTTGGTGATGTCACTCAATTTTTATTTTTAATTTACAAAAAATTTTAATTATTTAATTTTAATTTTAATTTTGAGCCTCCATGCACTAGGAGTAGAAACTTAGCCTTAGTCATTCAAGGCTTTTGAGTTTCCTAGGAATGCAAGGAAAGAACCCATGACATGAATGGAGATAGATTTGGGAGAATATCAACGGGTGGGTATTTTCATCCTTTTCTCCAGAACTGCTTCTAAGTTTTAGGGGTCTTATAGAATGCCAAGGCTGGGGAGAGGGTTTCAGAATCAGGTTCTTGGCATTTTTCTTAGCCATCATCAGCTGAGATGTTTGTCCCATCTGGTCTTTAGTCCTTGGCCCAGAGCCATTCTTATTCCTATCAAAAAGACTCATTCAGATGGAGGAGCTCCTATCCCTGCTCCTTCCAGGTCCCCCTCAGGCTCATGGGAATTGTTTTGCTGCCACATCATTATTTTGCATCACAGGAAACAGGTTTTATCCATTTCTCCATCTACTTGAATGCAGGACTGGCTACATAATTTGCAGGGCCTAGTGCAAAATGATTAATTCATTGATACTGTTTAAATAGCACAGTTTTATTTTTTAACATTTTATTTTGGGATAATTTTGGACTCAAAGGAGAGTTGCAAAAATACTACAGAGTTCCCATACACTCTTCACCCAGCTTCTTCTAATGTTAACAGCTTTCATAACCACGATACAATTATCAAAACTCAGAAATTAACATTGGTACAATAATATTAACTACAGCCTTTATTTGTATTTCACCAGGTTTTCCACTAAAGCTCTTTTTTGCTTCCAGGATTCAATACAAGATTCCATATTGCATTTAATTCTCATGTCTCCTTAGTCTCCTCCAATCCATGGCAGTTCTCAATCTTTCCTTGTTTTGCCTGACCTTGACACTTTTGAAGAGTACTGGTCATTTTGTAGAATGTCCCTCAATTTGGGTTTGTGTGATATGTTCTCATGATTGGACTGAGGTTATACATTCTTGGGAGGAACATTCCAGAGATGATGTGCCCATCCAGTATCGCAGCCTTTTGAATTTTTCAATAAAACAGGTAGAAGAAGGTTCAGCAGTTTGCCCCAAATCATAGAGTTGCCAGCACTAAAGCCAGGACTCGGCCTCAAGTCTCACTTTCGTGCTAGGGTTGTTAACACAAACCTTTATATCCTTTCACATACTTTTCAATACTATTGAATTATTTAGCCTCAATGTGCAGTTTGGCCCCTGAACAATGAAATGGGGGAAAGGGGACGCTGGGAGATGGACAGATCCTAGGAGAAAAATAATACTTTCAAATGCGGAGAAGTTGAGCACTTGCTCAGTGTCCTTGCTGCTTCATGGATGGCACACTTCGTGAGCCCCAGCTGTGTGTGTGCCAGGTTTCAACTCTGCATCACCACCTCCCCCTTCTAAAATCTCTGCTTTGTAAAAGAGAAGCTGCGAACCACATTTCCCAGAACCCCTGTCTTGGTATGGTTCCGGCTTAGAGTTTGTTGATGAGAGAAATTTGCATGAAATTTGAGGGCAGAAGAAAAGGAGAAGCCATTTTTCTCCACGACCAGGACACGTGAGAAGATGTGAGATTTATAGAAACTTCCTGAAGAACTTATGAGAATCACGTACTTCACTGCTGCAGATGAGTAGGTGTAGGGTGAGGGGATTTTCAGAGATTCTTGAGAACTTCAGAGCTTCCCAGTAATCTTTTGGGAACTTTTCACCTTGGTGCTTCAAGCTGAGGTCTCTAGTGTCTGCTTCCTTGATCTTTGGTGGCATCTTTTTTGACCTTGTCTTTCCTACCTCTTTTAATAGTCCTATAAACCACTAGTTCTTATGCTGAAACCCTTTATCCTGGTATACATAGCACGGCTTCTGCTTTCCTAACCGACCCCTGATGTAGTACAACACGTATTAATGCACTCATCCTCCCACCACCGTAGGAGTTGGGCGCCACTAGAAATGGGGTAACTCAGAAGTCGATTGTGCCACTCCCACATGCACCCAGGAGCAGTTTAATGACTATTTCAGATAGTTCTTAGCAATAAAGCTGAATATATTTGTTATCAGAATGAGTGTTCTTAAAGTGAAAAGGATGAAGATCGAGACTTAATTTCCTTTTGTCTTTCGAATATAAAAGGCCATTTCCACATGAAAGCATTCCTAGGCGCTCCGAAAATCTTCAGAGACTATAACCTGAGGACCGGAGATTGATGAAGTCTTTTCCTCCAGCTGAGTTTCCTAGGGGCGAAGACTGTGTCTTCAGTGCCTAACACAGTAGGTGCGCAATAGACAAAGGCATTCCTCATTCACCCTGCCTTACCATGCCTGAAATTCCACCATTAATATGATTTCTTTGGTTTGAACCTAATTTGACCTTTTCCCTTGTTAAAATATAAGTTCTGTCTGTATTCATCCTCTATGCCTTCACGTAGCTGAACTTGTTAAAGCCATTCCTCAAAGTTGGTTTGATTTGGAGTGTGAGAGAGCATGAGGACTTCTTAGTCTTGAGAGAGACTGCTACACAAAGATAGACGTGCAATTAGGGTTGCAGCATTGTCTGTAAGAGGATAAAAAATTGGAAGCTGTGTTAAAGAATATTTTTTTTAAAAGGCAAAACTACGACTCTCGTACAGATATAAAACGAATGTGTGTTAGAGATTTTACTTAACTCATTACTAATGAGGGAACTGGTAAGATGTTACAACCATTTTAAAGGACAATCCAAAGAACAGACACATATACAGATTAGGAATATTAAAATAAAAGTGCAAATGGAGGCAAAATTGGCTGCTTCCACAGTTGGGGAAGGGAGTCGATTGAATATCCACCAGCCAATTTATTTGTATGATTATAGATAAGAATTATTTTGCATCGCTGTCAGTTATACACAATTTACTAAATGGAAATTCAGAATCAAATAACCAAGAATGGTGTGCTCTAAACAATGTACAGTTTTCCAGTGAAGCACAAATTTTTCCCTGCGAGTATAAATATCTATTAATAGAGAACTGGTAACATAAATGAAGAAATTGCTACTACAACGGGAAAATATGCATACATTCAAAAGAATGTGGCCGACATTAAAGTGGGATGCAAGCCACAGATTGAAAATATTCACACTACACATCTGATAGAGAACTTGCATCCACTATATATTAAAAATTCTATAAATCAATAACAAGAAGATGAACAACCCAATTTAAAAACGGGCAAAATTCTTGAACAGGCATAAAAGAAGGTATAGAAGGGGCTGGCCCTGTGGCCAAGTGGTTAAGTTTGCACGCTCCGCCTCAGTGGCCCAGGGTTTCTCTGGTTCGGATC